CTCTCTCGCTCTCTCTCGCTCTCTCTCGCTCTCTCTCGCTCTCTCTTCTCTCTCTCGCTCTCGCTCTCTCTCGCTCTCTCGCGCTCTCTCGCGCTCTCTCGCGCTCTCTCTCGCGCTCTCTCGCGCTCTCTCGCGCTCTCGCGCTCTCTCGCGCTCTCTCTCGCTCTCTCGCGCTCTCTCGCGCTCTCTCGCGCTCTCTCGCGTTCTCTCGCGCTCTCTCGCGCTCTCTCGCCCGCTCTCTCGCCCGCTCTCTCGCCCGCTCTCTCGCGCTCTCTCTCTCTCTCGCTCTCTCTCGCTCTCTCTCGCTCTCTCTCGCTCTCTCTCGCTCTCTCTCGCTCTCTCTCGCTCTCTCTCGCTCTCTCTCGCTCTCTCTCGCTCTCTCTCGCTCTCTCTCGCTCTCTCTCTCGCTCGCTCTCTCGCTCGCTCTCTCTCTCGCTCTCTCGCTCGCTCTCTCGCTCGCTCTCTCGCTCGCTCTCTCGCTCGCTCTCTCGCTCGCTCTCTCGCTCGCTCGCTCTCGCTCGCTCGCTCGCTCTCGCTCGCTCTCTCTCGCTCGCTCGCTCTCGCTCGCTCGCTCTCGCTCGCTCTCTCGCTCTCGCTCGCTCGCTCTCGCTCGCTCGCTCTCGCTCGCGCTCGCGCTCTCTCTCTCTCTCTCGCTCTCTCTCTCTCTCTCTCTCTCTCGCTCTCTCTCTCTCTCTCTCTCGCTCTCGCGCTCTCGCGCTCTCTCGCTCTCTCGCTCTCTCGCTCTCTCGCTCTCTCGCTCTCTCGCTCTCTCGCTCTCTCCCTCTCTCCCTCTCTCGCTCTCTCGCTCTCTCGCTCTCTCTCTCCCTCTCTCTCTCCCTCTCTCTCTCTCTCTCCCTCGCTCTCTCGCTCTCTCTCTCTCTCTCTATCTCTCTTTCCCGCTCTCTCCCGCTCTCTCTCTCTCTCTCTTTCTCTCTCCCTCTCTCTCTCTCTCTTTCTCTCTCTGTGGTTGCAAGACACGTGTCATCTGATGCCCTTTATCCTCTTCTTAATCAATCTTACTTTTTCACACCATATCCTTCCATAGCTCATATAAGGTTCACCAACTATTCACCGACTATCTTTTACAACTACCATCCTCAGAGCTGCTTGAAAAACATCTTTTTCGCTCTCGGGCCAACCGTCGTCTAGTTCTTTTTCCCGCCCTCCCTACCCTACAGCAGGGTGGGGGGGTTAAAGCAACCGAACTATTCCAGCCACTTTACAAAAGCCAGTCAGAATCCAAACAGATGGATCCCACCGATGACAAGCTGGAATGAAAGATGTACAGCCACAGACAGAGACATCAAAGTCTTTGACTTGAGTTCCCCCGATACGGTGTCAAAAATAAAGATCTTGCTGCTGCTGCATGTTGGAGGTTTGTCGGATGAGCACTTGTTGAATTGCAGATTAAACGAGTTGGGTTTTTAGGATCAAGTGGTTAGGACAAGAACAATGACATCAAATTGTCTGACGGTGGGAATGCATTTTGATGTTGTGCTCGCCGATTCGTGATTGTTTGTTCTCGAAGGGTCACTTGATAGTTCATTCTCTCTTCATCATTTGCTACTTGTTGATAGTGCTCACGCTGTGCATCAGTGAATGCTGCCAGAAATTCGGCCGTGCCTACATCCGGTAAATCGGTCAAATCCATGAAGCGGCCCACGATGCAAGGAGTCTCTTCTGTGCAATCTGGAAACATCCTATCTAGTGCACGAATTCATGCTGGCCTCGGTAAGTGCGAAACAACTGGAAGAATCGCCAAAGAAACGCATGATTTACTCCTTCACGAAGTAGGGTTTCAGTGTGTCCTTAAAATGGGAGAGGCCACGATCCGGATCTCGGACTTGTAAAATGAAACCGCTCCTACGAGTGCATTTTTGAGTGATGGGCCATGCTTGTTTGCATCTAGTGTTGTGATGCCTAACCAATCATCTATCAAATCCTCATATTCAAACCAACTAGATTGGCCATCAAACTGTGGGGGCACCTTTGGAGTCATTTCGATACCTGGTCTATTGTCAATGGTACTGACGGCGTAGGCTTCAGGCTATTCATTTCTTTGGATTTGAAGTTATTATTCGTCCGAATGCATAATTATTATGGATTAAGACCATGGCAGCTACTCGGAGTTGTATCACAAGCTGCCCTTGCAAGTCCGTAAATCGGTGCAGGTGCAAGAAGCAACTGCAGTCGGAATATCGGATCTTAGCAGGGCACAAAGTTCCGCTACCACTTTGAGGTAGCAATCCCTGGCATTTAGGGGCCCTGGATCTAAGCTATGAAAGCACGAACACTTGGGGTCAACGGTCGCAGCGCAGCACCTTTTCTGCAGCTATGCTAGCAAATCTTGAGCCACGGAGTGGCGCAGTGGATGAAATGAATTAGAGTGAACATGTCACATGATATGCAAACTGTAAATGCATTGTGTAGATACAACCCCAAAAATAGATTACGCCCCCACACCGGCGTGCCGGGGGAGGGTGCCATGGCCCTCGGTAAGGGAAATCACCGGTTTGCCTACCATGTTTTCGGCTCACACTTCCTTGAGTTATTCGAATTTTCTTCATGAGCAACTTTGATTCGCCACAAACATTTCAAGCATTACCAAAACAATTGACATGTCTGGAATGAAAAAATGAAGCTGCCTTTTCACAAATTCAGAAGAAGAGAACAAGGCATTTTGTTTTTTTTTCCAAGCCTGATTTCGACACATTCACTCAAATTCAGGGATGTGTTTTGGTTTCGCAGACTGTTTGGCCAAAAATTGGTTACCGTGACTACAAATTTGCAAATTTCCATTCGCAAACCATGGCCACAGATCTTCATAGGTATAACTTCAAAAAAACCGTCAATTTTGTTGATGTTCCATCTGGAAAATAGGTCATTTTACAATGCAATGTCTCAACTTGTGGGGCCAGTTCATGACCAATTCATTGAAGTCGAAAATGGTCCGGTTTGCTGTGCTATAGCAGCATGACTTTCAGGTGCAGGCTGATGTGTATCCATGGAGAAATAGAGGGGCCAATAGTCGGCCAATAGGCTTTTGCTTGTTATTTCCTTGTCCATGGGCGATGTGCGACGATGTAGCCATCAGCAGCCTTTGCTAAGTGCAGGTTTGGTTTTTGCTTGAGCGTTCAGAGTCCAGCGTAAAAGAGTGACTTGGAAAGATATTTAAGACTCTTACACAGAGAAAAAGGGAAATTGTGCTTTGTTTTGCAGTTTCTGTGGGGGTTTATGCATCGGCTCAATGGATCTGTTTTCAAGTTTGACATATCCTGATTTGTGGTTGCGACGTTTCGATACGCCTCTTGGTAGTTTATTTCAGTTTGCCCGTCGGACTCACACTTGATTGCTGTGTCAAGTTTCAAGACTGCACTGCACTTGTTGTCGCCATGATGAGAGAGTTTGGAAGAGTTTGTGAATCAAAATGCTCATGGTGAAGGCATTTTTCTTGTTTGTGAGAATCCATCCAGTTCATGCAGTGCCTTGTCAAAAATTGTGCAGAACAAACGCACAAAGTGGAACTTTGCTGCCTGGAAATATCAAAATTCCAATTTCAAAACCCTCGAGCACTTGTGATTCAGTTGCGATTAGCTGATGATTCACTTTTACTTTCAGTGATCTCCAAGTGGTTCAATTCTTAGCTGCCTTGGCGCCAAGGCCACGCGTTCGAGGCCGAACTGGTCAAGGTGGTGCAGGTGGTCCATGCTCTTGGCTCCTTTGGGTTCCTATAGCGTTTCTGGCACCCACCTTGGCCCAGCAAATTTTGCAAGATTCAGATGGTGAATTCAATTGCGACCATCCACAGTTCGTGAGCCTTGGCATTGATATAAGATGTTTTCCAGCAGGATTGTATGTATGCACACATGCATTCATGTATCATACTATCATATTACAAATGTACGTATGTTATGTATGTTATGTAAGTGATGTATGCCATGTATGTCATGTTATGTTAATGTTAATGTTAATGTTAATGTTAATGTTAATGTTAATGTTAATGGTAATGGTAATGGTAATGGTAATGGTAATGGTAATGGTAATGGTAATGTTAATGGCAAGGGCAAGGGCAATGGCAATGGCAATGTCAATGGCAATGTCAATGTCAATGTCAATGGCAATGCCAATGTTAATGTTAATGTTATGTTTATGTTATGTTATGTTATGTTATGTTATGTCTGTTATGTTATGTTATGTAATGTAATGAAATGTAATGAAATGAAATGAAATGAAATGTAATGTAATATAATGGTATGGTATGGTATGGTCTGGTCTGGTCTGGTATGGTATGGTATGGTATGGTATGTATGTACGTGGGTATGTACGTAGGTATGTAATGTAATGTAATGCACTGTAATGTAATGTAATTTGATTTAATGTAATATAATGTACTGTACTGTACTGTACTGTAATGTAATGTAATGTAATGTATGTATGTATGTGAGTGAGGTAAGACCACATTCTAGAACTGTAGCGGACAAACAAAACAACTCTAAGTGTCTTGCAAGTGGTGTTGGGATCATGTGATTGATGTTTTGTTTGGTTTTTGCCCGCTTTCTGTTCGCGACGAATACAAGAAACACATATTCACCATCGAAAACTGTCAAAATGACAGACATGATTATTGAAACACTTCATGCATACATCGAGCAGCATCCTCGAGGCATCATCTCAAACAGGCCACTTTTTTCTACGAGGTTTCTTGGCCAGAATTAGCTGATGTATTTGTCGCTGATGTAACAACTGCCTGGCATGCTGCGCACATTTGCCAAGTTAGCCCTACATTTCCAGTTGAAACCAAATTCACTTGGGCTAAGGTCGACACATGATGGCAACACGACCGTTGAAGGATGTTGAAACATGTTGAGAAACAGCCAACTCTTATTTGTTTTTGTTTCCTGTATATTATTGTATGTATACTTGTTTAACAAGGCATGGGGTTTGACAACCTTGCAACCCGCTGCTTGAGCAGTCGTGGCAACAGCTTTCACGTCTTCCCAATGGTCAAGGTACGGCAGAATCTTCGGCGCAAGTTACCATATGACTTTGAAGATCCTGTGCATGCCTACCCAGAGGCGCCAGCCTGCCAGTGTTTGTGGGTGTGCCGTTTGTTCTATGTCAATCAATCTGAGTCTAGGTACGTTTCAATTACATGTATCTATGCATGTTATCACCTGAAATGCGTGATTCACAACTTGCCTCGAAGCATCTCGGCTAACGAGCTCCCCCTTCTGGGCTGCCACGCTTGAGATTTTGCATGAAGCCCGCTGGTGGTTCTGGTCACCGCCTTCGACCAGCTGTTCATTTGCAGCCATAGCCCTTGGCGCTCTGGTGTTGTTTTGCTGCTGCTTCAGCTTTGGCGCTTTGGTGGCCTGCTGCGCCCTTTCTCACCAGTGCAGGCAGTGGCTCTGGCATCGCATCCGGGGGGCATTGCAGCAGTGGTCTAGCCTTAACCCGGGTCAGTCCACAGGGGCTCTTCAGCGTCGATTTCGTGAACGCCGTGCATGAGTTTTGGGTCGTGGTTGCTGGACTGGGTTCCTTTCCCTGAAACTGCACCTCCCCCAGAACCCTAAGCATTCTCTCCTTCTTCTTCATATACCGCTGGAATTGCTGCAATTGCTGGCCTTGAGGCCAAGGAAGCTGAAACTGAAATTGTTGAGAGCCCAGTTCCTCCCAGACTGTATCTTGAGTCTAGATCTTTGCAAATTCAGCAGATCGAGCCAGTGTTTGTAGCTAGAGCCGTTCCTTTGGAGTTTCCTAGGGCTGAAGGCTTTCAATTTCCCGTGATTGAACTTTCAAGGATTTTGAGTGCACCATTTTAGCTACAAGAACTCCGATCGGCCTTGCTGAGCTAGTGCCCGCTTTCCTGTGTCTGCACAGCCAGATTTGGACTCTCTGAATCCATACTGGACTCCTGCAGCTCGAGTTGGCCGAGCTCTACGTGCTGGCATTTCAACTCGTCGAGTGGCATTGGGCCTGTTCAACAATGCTTTGTCTGCATCCATTCCCTTTGAGAACCAGGCCTACATTTGCTTGCGAGATTGTCGTACTGAGGTTGGCGGGTGGACCTCAGTACCACATCTACTGGGGCAACACTTCTGATCCGAACACCGACGAGGATCGCTTCACCCCTGGCAGCGTGTTTCACGCCTTTCCATTCTTTTGCAGAAGTTGAAATATTTTTGTGAGGAGCCCTTAGGCAATGGCCTCCGGAGCAACTGGATTGAGCTATAAGCCTTTGAGCTTTGAGGACGTGCAGCGGCTTGGTGCTGCCTTGGCACCGACCAAAGTGCTCCCTACTCTTTGCTTTGTTTCTTCTGCCGGTGAGCTGCCGGAAGAAGCGCGGGTGTTGGCCTATTTGGTGAGATGCTGCCTCAATGGATTTATGGTAGCTGACCGGTTTGACTCTGGTGCAATCGCTTCTCAATGGTTTGGCTCCAGACGAAGGTGCCGAACAGATCGCCTACAAGCTAGTGGAAGTTGCCCTGCAAGATTGCAAAGGTCGCAAGTTTGGCAAGGGCACAATCTATCTGGCCGACTTTTCGGGGGAGTGCGCTTTGTTCTTCTGCCGTGCTCCAGCTTTGCGCCGAGGGGCTTCAGTGCAGGGGATGCATCGAGTGAAGGTTGGCAACGCCGTGGCTCGTCCAGCCTCTCGGCCTATGTTGCCGGTGGTCGACGCTTGGATCGCCGAACTGGCTGGAGAGGACGAGACTATGCAGGAGTACTTCGCTGCAGAATCCGACTTGCCTGCAGAAGACTTCTTCGAAGATCCTGGAGCAGAGGCCGATGCATCAGACAGCCATGTCAGCCGCCTAGAAGCGCAGCTGAAAGATTTTCAAGCTCAGTTGGATGCTGCCCAGCGGAGTCCGGCAGTTCCTGCTTTGATGCGCGCTGAGCCCAAGTGTACCTCCGCAGCTCCCACTACGTTGCTCGAGCAACCTGGCGCCTCTCTGGACGCAGCAGCTTTGCAGCAACTGAGGCAGCTAGCCGGACCTCCGCCCAAGCGCTTGATGAAGTTGGGGCCCGAGCAGGAGTTCAAGGGGCCTCCGGCCTCAGGTGGGAAGTACTCCGGGGCAGGATCTTTTTGCAGAGCATCAAGCCGGTGCCTCCGAGGAGGACGAGGTGGCGGCCATTCTAGCTGGCACTCAAGACCCTTTGCATCAGATTCTAGCCCTACAAAATTTCAGCCGCCCTGGGCACGGGCCAGGAAGCTCAGGAACAAGTGGCGGGTGGGGGTGCGTGGCTCGAGACGCCTAGGGCGCAGAAGTGCACTTGGAGATGGCTCGTGCCCTGATGATGATCGAACAGATTTCCATTGGCTCCTCCGCAAACGGTTCCGCAAACGCCTTTCCATCAAACCGTATGCTCGGCTCGCTGCGGCCCCGTGGATTGCAGCGAATTTGGCATTTCTGACGGATTTGGACTATTTGGAGTCGAGGCTGAAGGGAAACTGCAATGATCTTTCAGACGACACCAAACACCCAAGAACGAGGCGGCGCCTAAAAGACCGGTAAAGGCCAGGGAAAAACCAAGGACAAGCAGAAAGACACAGAGGGCGAAACTCAAGGTGCGTGAGCTGTAGCTGCACTGCCGCTGCTCCTTGTGGACCGCAGCCTTTTTCCAGGTGTTTATAAAGAGTCGGGTTTAGCAGATCAGGGGTTGAGTAAAGTCCCACAGCAGAATAATAACAATCCTCACACTTGCGCCGCCTCACGCTCTAACACCAGGGATAATGGGGATACAGTTTCTCCTGGGGAATCGCCTGTTCTAGACTTGGATCAGTTTGGAGCTGAGCCTGTTAGTTTTTTAGACCTCATGCATGCCGTTTTGCACAAAAAGCATGATGCCGCACACCTTGGTCTGACTAATTTTATTCCGACTATCGTTGCGGCCGGAGTCCCGCATCGTGCGCGGAGCTGACAACAGTTCCGACCCAATGCCCTGTCCCCTACCGAAGTGGAGGTGGACAGGCCCTTGCAAGCCATTGGCCAGGCGGAGGCGCAGGAGGATGTTCTCCAGATCAGGTCTTAACTTGTGCAGCGTGTCGTAGGGGTTCTAAATTGGGAAGCGCTAGGCCACCCTTTAAGACCACCCACCGAAGTATGTGCCTGCTCTGACACGCAGTGGGATATGATTTGCGGGCTGGAGAGGTTGATCACTTATTTTCTTCATACATTAGGGGGATGTGGTGAAAAATTCAGCACCTTGATTCGTGCTGCCGAGAAACTGCCTGATGCCCAGGAAGTGGACCTGTTTGCATTTGTGAATGAAATTGCAAGCGACTTGGATTCCTATAATCGGCCTGATATCCCAGTTAGTCCTGCCCCCAGTAGTCCAAGTAAACCTGATCCCAGTTCTAATCTTCACGGGCCCCAGCATAATGTAACTGTCCCCAGTTCTTCCGCCAAGCCGGTGAATGCAGACAGGATCAAATGGGAAGACTCCCCTCCTTTTCACCCCGTGCCATATTTCACAGATGCCATTGTCAGGGATGCTTTCTTGGATCCAGCTAGTGTTGGGTTACCACCCTCAAAGTGGGTTTAAAAGCTGCGTGGCCGGGTTCGCTGGTTCCAGACATGAGTTGTTGAAGTTGGCTGAGAAGCGGGATAGGAAGGGGGCATGTTGGATTTTTCGCACCGACAAAATTTTGGAAGATGAAGCTGTAGGCATCTTCACAGTGCCTCAAGCAAACGTATGACTGCTTGATTCTCTTTGTGGGTTGACGCTCGCTTGGGAAGTTATTCACATTACACAAAAAGCTTAGGTCCTGGCTTTTTGTTTGCGATTTGCAGGCTCGAGGACCACCAAGTGCTTAGGTTGAGTGCAGATGACCTGGCCAAAATGTATTATACGATGAAAATTCCTGAAGCCAGGGCAAAAAAGGAACCGAAAAGAAACTGTATATTGGTCTCCGGTTCCATGCGCATGAGTTGAAGCACTTGTCTTGTTTTGATCCATCTAGACATTACAGCACTTGCTTCGTTTCATTGAATGCACTCGCCATGGGCGATTCTTGGGCTGTTTGCTCAGCAGGCTCACCATAGTGTGCTGTGCTACGTTGCCGGTTGCATGCTTGAGCACCAATGTGTGGCTTATCGGAAGTCTTTCCCTCGATCCTTGTTCTGTGAATGGTTATTGATGATCATATTGGGGCTCAGGTGTTAACTCGTGAAGAATTTGAAAAACAACCCCCCAAAAGGGATACAGAGGTTTTTGAGATTGCCGGCAGAGCATATCAACAAAAAAGAAACGGCCGGGGGGCCCAACACGGGGTCTTTTTGGGAGCCGAAGTTGATGGAGATAAAGGTGTTTAGTCCCCGCTCCCCGTGACCTATAGGATCCTTGATGTTGTGCACCATGATGCCATTGCTTTCCTCGCTTGTTGTCCAGCTTGCCTGGTTGTTGGATTCATGTGCTCACGTTTCGCAGACCCATCCTTGCCATATTGTCGCGTGCATTCACGGAGAATGGCCAGCATCCTCAGCAATGAGCTGTGCGCGCTGGCTTTGTTAGGTCCAGTGAGCGTCAGTGACATGCGTGTGGATGTTGCACCAGCTGTTTTCTGTACACTGATGCCAGTCCCTCCGGAGGGGGAATTTGCATAGCTCCCGAGAAGAAGCATGTGGTTTCTGAGCTTTGGAGACACAGTGAGCAACGAGGGTACTACACCCGTCTCTTGAATCCCGCAGCCTCCATTCTGTCAGAGATGGGCTTGGAATATTTAGATGATGATCTTCCAGAAGCCACTTGCCTGGCTGATGACATGAGTATAAAAGTTCCAGCCCCTCGCATGAAGGCATCTTGTATGATTGCTTGGAAGTGTTCCGAGGTGAAGGAAATTGGTCCCTGGCCCACGGGGATGCCGGGTTTCATGTCCATGAAGGTATTGACGTACGGGGGTCTTGTCTGCGTTTTCATAATCAGTTTTCCATGAACTCAGATCCCTCGCCTTGAGGCGAGTTGTGCGGGATTGGCATGCCGGGCCACCTTGTTACACATATGGTACATTGAGGCGTCCGAGACTTCGGACTTGCATGATCCACTGACTCATGAGCAGACGGTGCTGGCCTTGCGCACTGCCTTCTGGATGTGACTTGTCATCACCAGCGGGTTGTATTTCAGCATCGAGCAGCCAGGCTCTTCAGTGATGTTCCGCCTTCAGATCTTCAAACGGGTGATTTTGCAGGTTGCGTAATCACCCGCATGTGTTTTTGTGCTTTTGGTTCCCCCTTCAAAAAGGCATCCCAATGGCTTCATAATAAGCCCTGGCATTTAGAATTCGAGGTTCCATGTCGTTGCGCCACTGCTTCAAGTCATGTTGTGATTGAAGGCACATTTACTAGGGAGAGTGTAGTTCGTTTCGATGAGCTGTACCGCCCTTCGGCAGAAAAACTGTATGGCAGGTTACCAGAAGTAGGCGAAGCAGTTTCGTCTTTTTCAGCTTCTTACCCCAAAACTTTGTGCCAGCGGATGGCAGCCGGTGCTAAGCAAGCTCTGGCTGATTCTACAGGCATCATGCCCCTTGCAGCCAAACTTTCCAATTGCAAGCGGTGTTGATCAAAAGATTGACATTCCCAGCTCTGTGCTCACAGTTCCTCTAAGCCATCCACGTCCCGTTTTCGAGGATCCGCCCTGGGTTGAAGAGCTTGCAGACTGCTTCCACTCTAAGGAGTTGCTTAGATATAAGTTTGCCAAACGCGGCCATATAAATGTTTTAAAAAGCCCTGTCCATAAAACCTGGTTAAAGTATTGCGCTCGTAAGTGCCACAATTCCCGGGCCTTAAGCCCTACTAGACTCTCGGGTGATGCTAGGAGCCACTGCTAAGGGCAGGTCCAGCAGCAAAGCCATTTGCCGTGTCCTACAGGGATCTCTAGGATATATCTTAGGAGGGGGTTTATATCCAGGTGGCCTGCACGCAGGATCACAACTTAATCGTTGCGACGGCCCCTCCAGAAACCGTCCTGTGCCTCCGCCTAGTAAGGAAATTCCAGAGTGGCTCGTGGCTTTGCGTGATCACGACTTCGCTGGTGGTGACGTTGAGCGAAGCCCAGGGCCTGCTGCCAGGGGATCAGCTGCTAGAGTTCCTCGTGGCAGTCTCGACTTCTCAGTCAGGGTTGCACCTGCGACTGCTAAACGCATGAGCAGCTGTTTGCAGATGTTCAGTTCCTGGCTCCTTGACACTTTGAACATCACCTTGGAGCAGATCTGCTGGGACGACACGCTGCAGCACCAACGGCAGCCAGGGCATATGGGATGCATCTATACAGCACTGGTCAGCCAAGGTACTTGTTTGTATACACTCTGACTGGCCTACAAGATGCATACCCACATTTACGTGCTTTTATGACTCCTGCTTGGGCCGTGGACAGCAAGCGGCAAGTAGCAGAACCAGGTGAATGTCGACCCGTGCTATCAGCTCCAGTCTTGTGAGCCCTCACAAGCCTATGCATTTTGTGGGAATGGTACCGTTTTCTTGGTGTGACTCTAATCGGTTTTCTAGGTATGCTTCACCCTGCTGAATTTTTGGGGCTAAAGCGTAGGGGTCTTGTGCTACCTTCAGCTTCGCTGCATTCTGTCTGATCCTGTCTTTTTCTTGCACATCACCAACCCAAAGACTCACGTTTTGCTCGGCGACAGCATTGCAAGATCGATGATCCATGGGTCCTGTCCTATGTGGAGAAGACGAATCTTTGTTTGCTGGTGGATCCTTTGCATATCGGAAGAGATGGGATGCAGCTCTGCAGCGATTGGGGATGCTACATGCCAGCGTTCGAAGGGCACCAGCGGTGCTACGCACATGTTCTTAGCCAGTGGCGAGGCCGGTGGGCCCAACTGAAAACGGTTGAACATTACATCCAGGAAGTGGCAGCGCAAACTTTGGTGGCAAAGTTAGACCCTTTGTCCAAACATCGGATTCATATCCTGGCTTCTGCCTCGGGTGCTCTCCTGAAACTTCTTCTGTCTTCTGATGGTTGGCTTGCCAAAGCAATAGATGAGTGGAAGAGGGGGGGGGCACAATTGAGCCTTTTTCTTGTTTCAATGAACATCAGCCGTGAATGATCAGCTGATGGAAATGCTGGATTCCCAACCAGACCTTCAGAAATTGGGACCCAGCCCGGGAAATCTTGTGAAGAGCGGGAGAAAATGGGGTGATGCATGTTATCACCTGAAATGTGTGATTCACAACTTGCCTCGAAGCATCTCGGCCCCACCCGCTGGCCTCCCCGAAGGGGGGTGCACAATTGAGCCTCTTTTTTTTGGTTTCAGTGAACGTCAGCCGTGAATGATCAGCTGATGGAAATGTTGGGTTCCCAACCAAACGTTCAGAAATTGGGACCCAAACCGGGAAATCTTGTGAAGAGCGGGGGAGAATGGGGTGATAGATAGATAGATAGATAGATAGATATATATATGTATATACCAAATATTATATTGTACATAGTCTTTATACGTGTGTTCCAGTCATGTTTCAAGGGTGTAGCCATTGGTCGGTCAAATTTAACGCAACACAAATTCCCTTGCGATTTCTCAGTGTCCAGGCCTTTGCTTTGTTGTTGTCTCTGAACCCATGCAGGCATTCGATATCTCGCTGCTTTTGCGAGAGGCCCTGTCCTCAACCTGCTATGGAGTTCAGGCTTTGTGCCGCTTTGTGCCCGGAACAGGAGTAGAGCTATCGATAGCAGAGCATGTGCAAAACCTTCTTCTATTGAGCGTATTTTTCTACATACGCCACAGGTCATGTTGCCAATTTGCAAATAGAAACCGCACCATGTCATGATCCAGCAAAAAAACATGAAAAGGTCATTGCAATGCCAGATGTCCTGCTTCAGTCAATTAGCACTGTTCCTTGTATGCCATTGACCATTTGCATGAAGAGCCTTTTCCAGCTAGCAGAAAGTGTATATATGACATTGCAAGACTAGTGAGAACAGCAGTTATGAGACATGCTGCTGGGCACAGTACTGAGAGCAAACAACAGACAGTCCGAGGAAGAGATGGTCAACTTGATACTGCAGTCATGCCCAGAAGCACTTGCTTTGGAGACTCTTGTCTTGGGCACTGGCAAAAATTCTTGACGACCTTTCCTGCACCGGTACTGACGGTGGTGGGAGCCATGTTTGTTCGCTGCTGCTATGGGGAGAACCAGGGGTCCGGGATCAGGTGCAGTGAGCACCCCCCCAAGTGACGGCCAGAGTTTGACCTGGCCTCGGCAGGTTTTGATTGAATGTGCCTGCAATGAAACTGGATTTCAAGGCAACCCTGTTTTGTCTAGGGCCACAGTGGCAGTGGTATGTTATTTTTCTTGCTCTGAAGAAAGTGCAACAAGTGAGTAATGGGTTCCATTGCAGGAGTACAATTGGCTGGATCATTGCAGCTTTGCAGCGTAGACAGTACATGGCAGCATCGGGAACTTCCCATGATTCGTTTTTTCAAGAGGCATTCCGCATGTCTCAATAATTTTTAATAACTACTGCTCTGTACTCGTTCTGTCTCACACATGTCGTTTTCGACCAGGAAGCTGCTGCAAGCAGAGCGGCACCTTTCATTGATGGCACGTACTACGCAGCCTTCTGAGCTCTACGAAAATGCAACACAGGAGGGAACCTCAGCGCATCTGAACACCGAGCAACAGACAGGCTGATTCTAGTCGGTTCGCTCGAAATTGTGACATGGATAAACAGTCTAAATTAACATGTCCAAACAGACTGCCTTGGCATTTGCCAGAGTTGTCAGACCATGTACTGTATAATACATACATACATACATACATACCATACCATACCATACCATAACATAACATAACATAACATTGCATTGCATTGCATTGCATTGCATTGCATTGCATTGCATTACATACATTACATGCATTACATGCATTACATCATTACATACATTACATACATTACATACATTACATACATTACAAACACACACACACACATACATACATACATACATACATACATACAAATGTGTACAATTATGTACATAAAAAATATATATACAGACGTATCTGTATGTATACATATGTATGATTGTGTATATATATATATATCTATGTATAATTATATATATATGTATATATATATATATGTATAATTATTTGGTGCGGGACAACTTAAGCAGAAAAATCTGTTTATCACACCCCAAAAACCATCAAAAACGCTCAAATAAGGATTTGCTGGAATGGGGGACCCTAGAATCAGACTTGTTATAAGCAGATTCCCAAATCATTATATGAGAATTGGTCAAATTGGGAATCTGCTTATTACAGATGCTTACACAAATCAAATTCGAGTTCAAAACCCGGCTAGAGGTAACACAACATATGGGAATGGTTTGCGTATTTTCGTCCTTATTGGAAATATCATGAAATCGCATGACTGCAGAAAAAGAACGGGTAGAAGTAGGAAGGCAGAGAAGTAGAAAAGCAGCGAAGCAGGAAAGCAGAAAGCAAAAAAACAGGGAAGCAGAAAAGAGAGAAGCAAGAAAAGCAGAGAAGCAGAAACGCAGAGAAGCAGAAAAGCAGGAAAAGCAAAATAACAGAACAGCAGGAAAAGCAAACAAGCAGAGAAGCGGAGAAGCAGGAAAAGCAAAAGAGCAAACAAACAGAAAAGCAGAGAACTAGAAAAGCAGAGAAGCAGGAACAGCAGAAAAGCAGGAATCCAAAGAAGATTTCTAAAACCATATCAAAAAAACATAAAATACACAGCCCTCCATAAGAAAGGGTTGCGACAAAAGCAGAGGCCTAAAATCAAGCCGCAAATGTATGTTTGAAAGGCATTCTGAGAAAATTTTGCCGGAAAAACAGTGAACACCAGTCCCAGGAACCTACAAATGCCTGAGCGCGTGCATTATAGTTGATCTCCACTACACAGACTGTAATAAGCAGAATGGTTTGGAAATCTGCTTATTACAGCTGCTTGAAAGTTGGGACTTCTTTGGGCAACAAATTCAAGAAATAGCCGGGCCACAGCTCAAGCAGCCTTAATCAATCGTAACAGCACAGTATAGAAGCGCTGCCGTTTGTAAGAGTCCAAGACAGTGTCAAAAGCGTTCATTTGTAAAGCAGTCTTAAGGGAGTTTTGGAATAAGAAAGGGTTGCGACAAAAGCACAGGCCCAAAATCAAGCCGCAAATGTATGTTTGAAAGGCATTCTGAGAAAATTTTGCCGGAAAAACAGTGAACACCAGTGAACACCAGTCCCAGGAACCTACAAATGCCTGAGCGCATGCATTATAGTTGATCTCCACTACACCTTAAACTACACTACACTGACTGTCCACTACACCTTAAACTACACTACACTGACTGCAGTAAGCAGATTTGGAAATCTGCATATTGCAGCTGTTTGAAAGTTGGGATGTCCTGGGACAACAAATTCAAGAAATAGCCGGGCCACAGCCCAGAAACTGAATCAGACTAGAATAATGTGTTTAAGCAGCCTCAATCAATCGTCACAGCACAGTATAGAAAGGCTATCCTTTCTTATGTGTCTTGGAGCCCAAGGCAGTGTCAAAAGCGTTGAATCCTAAAGAAGCTTTGAAGGATAATTGCAACAAGAAAGGGTCGCTGCAAACCAAGAGCCGGGGAAATGGCATTCTTCGGTTTATTGCTGTAGGTTTGTACGCGTATACACAGCCGGAAGTTCTGACTGAAAACAACTAAACTATACCGAAACAATTGAAGATGTGACCCAGTGTCTGGAGACACCTGTACTGTAATAAGCAGATTTTCCTTTTCCGCGTTTTTAGGGTAACAAGCAGATACTAGTAGCCTACCGGCAAGAGAGGCAGTGGAGCAATTTGCTTGTCTGCTGGCAAGGGAGGATTTTTGCTTATTACCCGTCCGCTACTATATATTATATACATTACATGCATAAATGACGACTTTGACAAGGAAACTGTGAATTGAGTATCCCCCCTACGTAGATTTGGGTGGAGAAAGGGGTGGAGAAACGCGAATCTTCATAGATTTGGGCCCTCGGAATTCGATTCAACTGTCGGCAGGGCACGTAATGCTCTCTCGGGTCTCTGGGCACAATTCTTGACATGTCACCGGAAGTAAAGGCAGGCTGGCACTGATCGATGGGCAACCCGGGGCAAGCAGGGGCAACCCACTATCATAATCTATCATATCTATCATGCACCGTTTGTGTCCAGCATACCAAAGCCATCCATCCTCTACAGGCTTGCGAGCACAGCAGGTCTTTTCAAGAGCTGCAAATGGGGTTCGGGTTCCAGAACAAGTACGAGGACAAAGTGCACGAATGATTTGTTGTGCAACTATCCACTTGTCAATGAATCCAAACAGACATTAAGGTATGACTGATTTTATACAATCACCCACCGATCCACACCTGCCTACATTAGAATTCATTGGTTTGAGATCCGGAACGCTTCGAAGACTTTGTCAAACCGATGCTTCCATGATCTCCGATGTAGCGCGTGTCGTTTCGCATCAGGAGATGCTTCGGATGGGTTCCGAGCACTTGATGAACACTTGGCTTCGATTGGGACTCCGAGCGGACACATTCTGCGCTTTAGCAGCGCTGGTTCGATGCCTCCCATATCTGTTAAATCCAATGGGATGCATTCGAATGGATCTTTGTTTATCTGGACTTTTTGGATAACTGGATCACACATTATTCACCCCGCTTCGCGTGGGGTGGCCGCCCACACCGCAGGTTTATTTCGGTCCGTGAGAGGGGCTAAGGGTGGTTTTCCCCCGTGGGGGCTCCCCAAGCTAAGAATTTTCACTTTCCCCCCCCGTGGGGGCTCCCCAAGCTAGGGAATTTTTCACTTTTCCCCCCCGTGGGGGCTCCCCAAGCTAGGGAATTTTCACTTTTCCCCCCCGTGGGGGCTCCCCAAGCTAGGGAATTTTCACTTTTCCCCCCCGTGGGGGCTCCCCAAGCTAGGGAATTTTCACTTTTCCCCCCCGTGGGGGCTTCCCAAGCTAGGGAATTTTCACTTTTCCCCGCCGTGACAGCTTCCCAAGCTATGGAATTTTCACTTTTCCCTCCCTTGGAGGCTCTCCAAGCTGCGGAATTTCAAATAGCTAGACAACGACGCCTAGATAGTCCCCCAAATCCCGTGTTCTTTGAATGTGTTTCCATGTTTTTGCAATGGTTTCCTTCAAAGCACGGTACTTTACACTTTTGTCGCCATAAAACCGGTCGAAAACATCATGTTCGACAATGCTTCCAATTCCCTTATCTCCCCAACCGTTGAAAATACCGCTATTTACAGTGTTTTCTTCAATTTTTCCATGTTCCAATGCCGGTAGCCAACTCCAACATATATATAAGAAATCCTTCCAAAACATTGTTTTTGACAGTGTTTTTCCAATGTTTCCAGTCAAACAGACGGTAATTTACACGTTTTTTGCCATAAAGGCAGTAAATCCTTCCAAAACATTGCTTTTGACAGTGTTTTTGTAATGTTTCCAGTCAAGCATACGGTAATTTACACGTTTTTTGCTATAACGTCAGTCCAAAACACTTGTTTTTGCAGTGTTTTCAATGCTCTGGCATCCAAAAACCCTGCAAAATCTTGCTATGTACAATGTTTTTTTCATTTTTGGCCGTTTTTCCATTGCCGGAAAGCTACCAAAATGACCCAAAATTCCATTTCAATACCCTCTTGCGCTCAGACACCCAAAAATCCTCGAAAAATGTCGAAAACACCACCGTATTCTGGTCTCGGTGCGAAACCGTTTTTGGCCCCCCCCCCAGCTAAAGCTGATATAGCGACTGCTATATTAACAAATGTCATTGAGCATTTAGTGTTGCTGTTTTGCCCCCCAATAAGCACGCCTTCACCGCCAAAGCGGTGTGGGCGGATTTTGTGCCAGGCTGTGTGTGGTTTTAAAACAACAGGATAAATGGTTGCAGCGCAATCAACACTTTCCATGGTTGAAAACATCCCTTGAGGTGCTCGATTAAAGGACTTCAATACTGTACGGCTCGATATAGGCAGCTTTGCAGGGGATGGCATGCAGGGGAAGGAATTTAATCGACCTGGTGGATTTGGGTCGGGTCACTGTTTTGATTCTCAGTGCTTGTGGCAATCCCAGCTGCTTGTAGCATTCATAGTCTTCCTTTACCGATCTTTTGTTTGGTGGGACTTGTTGGGTGGTGGTGGTAGTGGTGGTGGTGGTGGTGCTTTGCGACAATGGTATTCCATCGTTCTGGTCAGTGACAAGTAGTCGCAGCAGGGACATCTTTTGTGCCGCTGTTACTTACAGTTGTGATTGTGATGGCCATCTGCGATGCTTTGATGTGCTGTAGGATAAAGCCAGGGTCAATCAACTGATAAATTTGATCGCATCCTTTTGGAAGCTCTATTGTTCCATGACAAGGTGCCAGCATGTGAGCAAATGTTTCCGTGCGAGACATTTAGATTCAGTGTCATGTCTTGCAATCATGGTGCACACAACTGTTGTGCATATCCAGCGCAGGTTTCACATGCGTGAGACACAGGCCGCTTTGGCTTCAGAGAAAGATCCGCATGGCAGCGGAGCCCCTCACGGGGCGGTGATCGGTGAAAGCCATAGGCGTGGGGGACACCAAGGATAAGTCCTTTCAAACTGGTGTTGCAGCGGTCTCGCAACCGAAGCTGGTGGACCACTTAGAGATCGCTGTGCTGCACCTTTATCCTGATCACCGACCTCAATGAATTCGAACCAGGACTTCGACATTGGAAAGTTTGCTGGTCAGACTTTGATTGAGCCCAATGATGGACTCTAGGGATCCCACCGGAGCTGGACAGACACCTCAACAATCACCACAAGCTTCACCTTTTGGATCGCCTCATGGACAAGCACGAGTCCTCAAGGGACCGGATTGACCGAGATGGCAGAGATAGCCCGTGTAGTGGCTAGTGCGGCCAATGCTGCAGCTGAAGCAGCACGTGCAGTGACCCAGGCATCCACTGCAAGCGGTGACAAGAAGAAGGACCTCTACCGTTTGATCCCAAGGCCGCACCTGCAGATCGAGATCAGGAGGTGAGCCAGTGGAGAGACTGGTATTGGTCTCTTCGCCAATACCTTCTGGTGGTGGATGGAAAGTATGAGGATGATCTGAACTATGTGGAGAGGGCTGGCATAGAAGAAGTGGACTGGGACCCGGTGCACATACTGGGACCTGCTGCACGCTGATGAACAACATCGTGGAAGGTTCTTGTACTCCTTGCTTAGCACTCTTTTGCAGGGACGGTTGAGAAGAGTAATGGGCTTGAGGCACTTCGACAACTTCTACAGAATTGTCAGCCTTGTGCTCGCAATCGAACCATGGCCATGCTCCAGAGCTTGATGGCCTATCCAGCGTTCAGCATGAAGAGTTCGATAGTGGCTCAGGTGGTGAGACTGAAAGAGAGCTTCAGCCAATTCGAGAAGATGGGTGGCAAGATGACGGACGAGATGAAAGCAGCAGTCCTCCTCAAGTGCATCTCAGGACCTTTGAAAGTTCATTTACACTTGGCCCTCAACGAGTCAAGATCAGAGAAGTGATCCAGGCCTATGTCTGACACCACTACTTTGCTTCCACCACAACCCCGGGGAGACTCTACTGGTGTGGCGCCTATGGAGATTGACAGGGTGAAAGGTGTCAAGCATGCATGGCAACAAGGGCAAAGTGAAGAGATGGAAAGGGGAAGTCAAAAGGAAAGGACCTGAAGGGCAAGGGTAAGAATCAGAACCTTCAAGGGCAGTGGGCTCCTTCACCGACTACCTCATGGACATCAACATCGAAAAGCAGTGGCAAAGGGGACCAGAAGCCCTCAGTGGACAAGAACAAGGGCCAGTCAAAGGGCAAGGATGCAACAGTGTGCTACAATTGTGGCCGTCCGCAAAGACTGCTGGTAAGTTCAACAAGTTGGAAGTCCAGATCCATCAGCAACAGTGCTGTCGAACGTGGTCTTTGATCTGAGGAGCTCTGAGGCTTCTTCATCCACCGGGCAGCATGTGAGAATGGTGAAGTTCCACTACATTGACGAGGAGATGGATGAGACCTCATGAATTCGAAGCGCATCTGTCATGGAGGATGAGAACATTCCGGACTCTGACTTGGACATCGACAAGGTGAACATCACCATCGATTCTGGAGCTGATGCACCAGTTTTCCCATCTTTTATGATTCATTGTGGCCGAGATCACAGTGGTCAAGCTGTTGCTCTACAAGATGCTCAAGGGCGACAGATTCCAGTCTTGGGGCAGAAGGCCATCTCCGTACTTCTGCAAGATGCCAATGGGACTGAGATTGAACTCAAAGACGATGTCATCTTCTCCCATGAGATCAGCCAGCCCATGCTGAGCTATGGAAGGCTCATGAATGCTGGATGGAGCATTTGCGCACAGAAGAGATGCTTGAAGAATGGCAACTATGAGATCCCGCTGGAGTTTCAGAACAACAGCTTGGTGGTGAAGGGCCATGTGAGGTCTGTTGTCACCTGGTCTCCAAGGGTATGTAGACAATGCTTTTGGTTGGAGCAAGGAACGCAATCGACGGATTTGCCCAGTACCAGAATCCACTCTTCGTGCCCAACATTGACTACAGAGTGGACTGGTTTCGAACCACGCTCATCAAGAAGAACCAGGCGTGGGTCAAGGTGGAGTCTTGTGAAAGGGTTTCAGGGATGTTGGACCCCGAGCCCTACATAGATGAGATTGCTGGGCGCACCAATGTGGTCACCTTTTTGACCGACGGTTTCGAAGATGTTGAGACCATGGGCTCTAAGGTTGAAGGTGGAATGGCAAGAGCGGAGTTCGAAGCCTTGGAAAGGGAGTTTCGGCCGCTTTTGTAGATCCCAGAGGATCATGAACTGGATCGGCGTGAAGCTGAGGAGGAGCAACAACATGTTCCCAGAGCACCTGCTGATGGAATTCTTGGAGATGGAGAGCAGGGAGATCTACAACCTGAAGGTGGTGGACAAGTTCAAGACCATCCACTTCAACTTCAAGTTTCGCAAGAAGGCCACATCATTGTCGGTGAGGTGGTTCCAGCCCAGATCGAAGTGAATGGTCAAGCTTTGACTCCTGGCAGTAGTCTTTCTGCGTTGAGAGCTGCATGTGGTTTTTACAAGGTAAGCAAGTCAGGCAGGAAAGGGAAGTGCTACAGGCGTTTATGCCAACACTAGAAGGAGCTTGAGTTGATGATGGCGCAAGCAGCCATTGCTCAGGCTGAGGGTGTGGTTGAGAGGCATCCCAATGCTCAAAGGCTTGTGAAGCCACCGGAACCTCATGAACAAGAACATCATGCACTCACGCATACACCCTACTCTCCATGGTGCTCTTCCTGCCTGAAGCATCGTGCTCGCCCTGACCAACATAGAAGGAGTGGAGAGGCACATGACATGCCAATCCCAGTCAGTTCAATGGACTTTGCAGTCACCAAAAAGAAGGAAGGTTTGGATCCACATCCTGAAGGAGCTGCAGATGACAAAGGAGCTCTATGGCTTGTTCTCACTGACAGCCACACTGGGTATTTGGGAGTGGTGCCGATTCAGTCGAAGGGCCAGCTCAACTACATGACCCACGAGGTTCTCAGCTTTGTGCGAGCCCACCATTCGCCAGATCCTCAAGACCATCGTCACCTCAAGACAGGCCCTTGGATTGAAGACAAGGGTCTACACCACGAAGGTGAAAGATTCAGGTGGCAATGCCCTTGTGGAAAACAGCATCCAGAGGATGCGCTCTCATTGAGGATGCTTGCGAGCGGGCTGGATTGGTGTTTCCATGCAAGCATGCTTTGTGGAGCTGGGCTGGTCGACATGCAGCATGGTGTTTGAATCCTTTTCAAGTGGGCAAATCGCTTCTTCCCATGAAGCTACCCATGGCAAGCGCTACACTGGAAAGACAGCCTGCTTTGCTGAGCCGGTGTATGCTTACTGCAAAGGCCATGGAGAGGCTGATGCCACATGGAGAGTGGCTTGATGCTTGGGAAAACAGAGGCCCAGGATGCTTGGATAATTGGTGATGGTGTTGATGTGATGTTGAGCCGCAGCATCAGAAGAGTGGATCAGCCATGGAGTTGCTTCCTAGCATACTACTCTGGCCTTCAAACCCACAGCTTTGTCTACCATTCCAACTTTGGTGGCAGAATTGTTCCAACAAAGCGGAAGATCACACCTCAACGTCAAGATGGACGACTTCTGCCGAAGCTGACTGAGGTTGAGCGTCGGTTTGCAGATGAGGAGGCAAATGCTGTGATGGCATATGCTCGATCTCGTGAAGGTCGACTTGAGGCTCCGAGGGAGCTGAAGGAAGCAAAGGAGTTCTGAACCTCCACAACCTCCCGTTCCAGTTCAAGAAGATCAACCAATAGCTTCAACTTCAGGACAACCATCCAATGCAGCACTGCTTGCACAACCCTCATCTCCTCATGCACTTTCTGCCCGACCCCCAGAGTTTGGCATTGGAGATCCTGGTCAGGAGGAGTCAAGTGCCAAAAGATCGAAGCATACTGAGAGCGTGCTGCGGAGGATTGCAATGAGTGAGAGAAGGCTGGTGGAAGTCACTGTTGGTGATGAGAGCTTCTACCACTTGGACAAGGCCATCGGCCAGGAGTACCTCAACGCCTTTGAGAATGAGAGCTTCGAGGTTGAAGAGAAGACTGTGCTCCAGGTGAACAAGATGGAGAAGCTTTGGTCTGATGATCCATTGACCAGGAGGCCACCAGATCCTGAACCTGAAGTTGACCAATTGGCTGCTGAAGTTGAACTACAACGGCTTCAAGACATGGGAGTCATTGAGCCCCTTGCTGTAGAAGATGTTGGATTGGGTCTTCTCACAACACGAATAGTCTATGATTGGAGGATCAAAGGGTGGAAGAACCCTAAGAATGGAGAGACCAAGCGCAGGTGGATGAGACCTGGGAGGCTGGTAGCCAGAGAATATGCTAACCATCACCAGCTTCAGGTGGACAAGTCCTACGACTCCTTCCATCAATCTACCTCATGCTGCTTGGTGTTGATGGAGTTCCTAGAGAAGAGCTGCAGATTGGAGCCCTTGATGTCAAAGACGCCTTCTTGATGGCGAACCAGGAGGAGCCAGTTCAAATCAGGACCAAGAATGGTCGATACAAGGTCAACAAGAACTTACCAGACCAGAGGTTAGCTGCAAAGGCTTGGTATGACTATTTGGTATCCTTCCTGAAGAAGAGGGGAGTTGAGTTCTCCAAAGAAAATCCGTGCTTGGGCAGACGCGCAGGGAAACTCTTCCTGTTGTTGCGCGTCGATGACATCATGATTTGCGGCTGCAAGGATGGGGTTCAGAAGCTCATTGCAGAGCTCAAGAAGGAGTTTGTCATCTCCTACAAGATTGCCCAGTTTCCAGGTGATGAGTTTGAGTTCCAGAAGAGGACCTATCGACTATGTGATGATGGCATGGACATCATGCCTGGCCGCTTTGCTGAGACAATGATCAAGCTCTTTGAGGAGAAGTATGGACCTGTGAAATGTCAGCAGGTACCATGTGGAGATGAAGGTCAGGAGATCTGAGGCACAGTTCTTCTCCCTGAGGATGAAGCTTCATTGTACCGCTCTTTGGTGGGCAGTGGAATCTACTTGTCACAGGAGCGCATCGAGCGTGGCCATGTCATCAAGCAGTTGGCCAGTGGAATGTCCAGCCCAACATGTGAACATCTACAAGTGATGAAATGCTTGATTGGGTATCTCAAAACAACTGAAGGGAACTACAACCACTTGGAGCTTCCGAACTATGGCAAGGGCATCCATATGACTCCAAATGGGTCCCTGAATCTTTCACTGACTCTGATTGGTCCGGAGATAGAACATCGAGGAGAAGTATGAGCAGCTGCGTGCACTGCTTGAAAGGCATCATCATCTTTCACAGCAGTCGTGGCCAGAAGGTCGTCAGTTGGTCAAGTGCTGAGGCAGAGCTTCATGGTTTGGTTATAGTGGTGCCACTGATGGCATTGCACTTCGAATTTGCCTGGAGTTCCTAATGGACGTGAAGGTTTTCCACATCTGCTTGATGGACAATTTAGCGACAAGGCAGGTAGCAAGCAAAAAGGAAGTGGTCGCCTTCGACATGTGTCTGGAAAGCTTTTGTGGATCCAGGATCAAACAAGCCCAAAGACGTTGGAGGGGAAGCAAATCAGCACTTTGCTGAACATTGGCGACGTTGGAAGGAAACCATTGGCAAAGGCAAGACTTCATGCATTGATGTTTTGGTGCAAGATCTACGACAAGGATGGCAACCAGGTGGGAGAAGCGGAGGCCAACAGGGTGAAGGAAACCAGCCTCAACAAGGCAAAGATCATGTGGGTGGCACAGCTCTTGCAGAAGGTGGTCATTTTTGGCGGCCTTGAGCAGGGGCTCACGGTGAACTTGTTCCTTTTCGGATGGACTTGCAGACCATCACACCAGTGGAGGAGACTATTTTTTTTTGAGCACTCTCTTTCTCCTGCTCTTTGTGGCCGTGCTTGTGGGTTTCTTCATCGTGTACAAGGCTTACAGGAGCCTTCAGCAAGAACTTCGGCAAGCTCTTGCAGAACTTCGACTTCGGCAAGATCGAATGATGGAGAATCAGAGCGATTTGATCAATGAGATTGGCATGCACCATATCCACATCACTAAAATGCATGTTGCTTTGATCAGGCTTGGTGGCTATGTCCAGTTCGAGCAGCCAATCACCGAGCAAGATTGGGGCAACTGGCACTACATCGAGCATGGCAATCGAGTTGAAGATGATCGAGTATGCCGACGTTGCTTGAGAAGCTTGAAACTCCTTGGAGGAGGCTGACGAAGGAGGAGACATTCCGAACCAATCAAGGAGCTGATTGTGGAGAAAATGCGCCTGAGAATATGAGTGCAGGGGAATATCAAAGAAGGCGGCTTGACCCCAGTGACCCTGAAGAGTAGCCAGGAGAGTTTGCTCAGAGCGCCGACAGCGCTACATGGACTCGACGTTGTCTGAGTGTTCAGACCTAGATGAGTGGATGGCACTACATCATGGAGAACCTGGCAGTGGACTTTCTCTGGCAGGTGATGCGAGTCGTTCAGCTGATGACTCGCCTGGTGACAATGAAGGTGGGGAAGAAAGCAACCCGACCAATGATGATGTATCACCAGTGGCCAGTGAGAAGAACACAGTGGTTTCAGAATGCATGAAGGATGAGTACCTGGAGTGGCCAAGTTGTGATTTCTCTGCATCGCATGACAAAGCCCAGTTGAGCGCAATGCAATGGATCTCCGACTGGGCCCAGCGCCAAGCGCGTGCCATCGCCAATGGCTATGACTGTTTGGCAGCATGGTGCAGCCGACAAATTGAGCTGCATAGAATGTACAGCAGGGTAGGAAGCATAACCCTGAATTGAGGTGGAGCAGTGAACACAATGTCCACTGTTCCAAGGAGGAGTGCGAGACATTTAGATTCAGTGTCATGTCTTGTAATCATGGTGCACATAACTGTTCTGCATATGAGACATAGGCCGCTTTGGCTTCAGAGAAAGACCCGCATTCCGAGATTCGACCTGATTCTACCTGATTCTGCTTGATGCGACCTCCTATCTCAGTTCAATTCCTCCAAGTGCTGAAGTGGCCAGGTGAGGTGGGTTTCCACCCAGAGTGTCGGATTCCAAGGATTCAGGCAGGGTGGGTCTGGAAATGTGGCGGCTGTAATCTAGTTTTGGTAACACCTGCAAAGCTAGGCATGTTACCATCTTATATCACGTTATGATACGTTGATACACAATTACATAATGCATGATAATGCATATTCAACATGTAGCAAAATGGCGAGGGTCAGGCCGCAAAGACCAAAACTAGGGCGTGGCCAAACACATTTACAAAATCCATCAAAATCCAAGGCAAACTGGAAAATGTGCACCTCATCCAGAGTGTATAGAAAAGAAAGAAAACATTTGAACACAGAGAGATGCGTAGGATTCTATGTTCAGAAGCACTATTTATAAACTTCAAAAATACGAATGAAAACGTCTCGCAAAAAAAATTGAGACCACTGGTAAACAAATCCACCAAATTCGTAGAACTTCTGAAACTGACCCACTGCATCAAGTCTCATACAAGCCAAACAATGCCAATGCATACTAGATCAATAGAAGGTGTGTGAATGGCCCTAGGCAGCGATAGAAAAGACAACGAATTCGGAATTGGATGGCAAGAAAGGACCAACTCCAGCGTATGTCTGTCTGTGTGTGAGAGAGGTCATGGTATGTGATGGTTTCAGTGATGGAGGTTCATAGAGGTTCATAGAGGTTCATAGTTTCACCATGTTTCACTCAATTCACCATGTTTCAACATATTTCAACCGGTGCCAGTGCGGCCAGGCAGAGAGTCGATCGGGAGAGTTGCTGCAGGGTTGTTACGTAGAAGGCTGGGGCTGGGCCTGACCAAGGAGTGCATAAGTCATCATAAGCCAGTGAGCAAGTCATTGACTGAAATTGATTGAAACGCGTGAATTTGAATACCATTATACAATATCAGATGATTTATTTGGAAGCGAGAGCTGCCTTAACTTTCATGCTTATTGGAATGCTGTCTCGTATGTGAAAAGAACCGCGGCACTCAGAGACTTGATAGCGTTGTTTGCCGGAGCGTAAGTTCATGTTTTGTTTCATCGCTTCCAACTTGGTTTATATCATTGCATTTGTTGTCAGACGAAGCTTTTTCATACACTCTGGAATCTATCCATTTCATTACATTCCGTTTCATTCCCTTCAATTCCGTGCCATTCCATGTACTACTTCACCATGAATCCATTAATCCCTTGAAATGGGTGTCCCCCGAAATGCCGCCCATACATTTGGAGATCTTCAAGTATTCGTGCACAATGTAGCAAACATGCATGAATTTCAAACAACCTGAGGCATTTCACCACACCACAACGGACCATAAAACCTGAACTAACTCAGAAGGGACTGCTTCTGAACATTGGAACCAGATGAAGCCAACGTCACAACGTCTCGTCCCTGCCATACAGTGCAGCACCACTGCACCACTGCACCACTGCAGCACAGCTCAATACGCTGCATCACAAGACACCAGCAAAGACACAGGGCAGTGTTCATTTGTTCGCCGAACCAGTGCCCGGGGTTTGCGATGACTATGACTATGAAATGAACCAAGAAGCAAAGACATATTTGTTGGCATAAAGTCACTTTTGTCACAGCCGTACATGCATATGTAGATACAAACTTTTCTTCTCTCTAACATATCCAGAGGGTTCTCAAGTCGTCCTTGTATCGCCAAAAAGGAGGCGAAGATGAATGAACACCTTCTTTCACCAGTTTTTGTTAAAACCTTCATTTGCTTTCAAAATGGTATTGGAAAGGGCCTCTGCTTTGCCAGAAACTGTGTCCATGCCTAGGATTGTCAAGAAATTGCATTCGCCCCAAGTACTTTTCTTTGGGCTACATTTTGGAAGAGTCTGCAAGACTGATTGGCAAGAGACTGCACATGCATAGATTGACATGAGAATAGGCCATTTCAACCATGCTCATTGTTGGTATGACTTCAACGCAGCCGGACAGCTGCCCACAGAGTTTCTGATGGTGGAATGCATGGAATAGTTCACGCATGTTCACAGGACAGTTCTGAATGCTCTCTTCTCTGATAACTTTGCCCACTGTGGCCCTGAAGCTACGACTTTCTCCGTTTTTCTCTGTTGGTTTCAAGGCATGTGGAAAGACCTGCCAGAGGCAAAGAGATGTCTTGGATGGGCAGTGATTGAAGGGGGGTTCAATGGACTTCAAAATCGAATCTTGAAAGAACCGCAACTTGGTCAGCTTCAAATCAGCACAAAACCTAGACTCGAACAGAGATTCAAGAGTCCTGCGGCCCAAGTCACCTTCAACCCAACTGATTTATAGAAATTTATTGGGAATTTTGCTTTTGAGCGGGAATCTCAGTTGGATGTGCCACCTGCCGGAGAGGACTTGCACCGCGTCGACAATCCGTCAGTGTCCGTGAGCACAAGACCTAGCAATCCCAGTGCACATTGGGTGCCCCGAGGCACTTGACGGTACTCCTGTTCTCGAGTTTTCAATATTTTTTCAATATTCTATATCTTCTTCCACTGATACCTTGCGTTTAAAGGAGCACATTTGTTTGCGGCTTCTGAGCACCTTGTAGTGGGTCTTGGAGATTCTCTTCTGCATTGTTTTGCATCCAACAGATCCATGTTTTGTGCTCAGCTGCTCAAGCGTCAAAAGCTCTGGCACAGTGGTTTATTTTCTCCTTAAACGCTTGAAACACCTTCCCAGTGCTTCAACATGATGCTCTGATATGACATCTTTTGAAAGTGAAAAGAGATGAAAAGAGTAGCAGATCCCTCTTCGGAATTCACTCACTTTTCCTCCTGGTGAAACCGAATCCTTGTGAGCCTCAAGGCTTGTAGCAAGCAGTTGCAATGGCAGCTGTGCTACAGCTAGCTTTGCTCATGGCCGCAAGTGCACCCGTCTTGGCGACAGAGTGTCTGATGATTGGCAAAGTCTACGAGGATAAGCCGATGCATTTGCAAGTAAGTTGGCCCGCGAATGCCTAAAAGAGATCAGTATTCTGTATTCTCTTGTTTTCTAAAAGCTTGCAATCGCATTTTATCTTGACTTTTGCATGAATTCTTGCAGGAGGCGTCGAAGCAAAAGCAAGAAAATGTGCACAAGTGGGAAGACTGCGCTCGTTCATGCAATCAAACGGACGGTTGCAGCCTTTTTACCTATCAGCCAGAATCTGTCTTTAAAAGCAATTGCTGGCTGATCAAGGTATCTCGCTTTGAGCAAGCACATTTTTGCAAGAATGAGTTTGCCCCCGTGGACGGCATTGTGTGGAAATCAGTTTGCCCTCCTTTTGATTTGGTTTTCCTCACTTCACAGTTGTGGCATGTTGTGGCCGTGTCAGTCTCTTGTCGCTAATTTGATCTGTGCTTACTGTGCTTGTGTGATCTGCTCTGCTTGAGAAATGTCGGTGTTTATCTCTGGATCAAGGCTGGTATGTCGAGGTTGGTAGTTGGCATCCCTGCAACGGTTGTTTCGTTGTTTCCGGGGGAAATTCTGAGGTCGATTGTTGCTTTTTATTCTCCAGTCTGAAACATGTCCCATGTCCTTTTGTTTTGTGATTCTTTGTCCTCTCTCTCTCTCTCTTGAATTTGGCCTGCTGTACAGGATTCTGCAACTGCCATCATGACGGATGATCCTTATTCGATCAGTGGCTCCAAAGCTTGCTTGGCAACAAGACCAACATCGTTGGTTCCATGTCCAGAACCAGGAGACTGATGATAGATGATGATAGTCAAAAAAGAAGCCATCAATACCAAGATACTCGTACCAAAAACTACTGAGATCTACGACAAACTGACAGGGTTCGGGTAGGGATTTGTTGATTTTCGTTTCCTTGATTGGTTGCTTGACAATTTCAGAATGTTTCAGAGCTATACTGGCTGGCTGGCCAGTACCGTAGCCTTTGCGAGCACAAGGTAGACACTACTTGTGTCAAGTGCGCAGAGCAAGGAAACAACAGAAAGGAGAGGAACAAGTGGATCAGTAGTGCAGGCATATGCAGTCATGAGTGGGACAGTAAGTCGTTGGCTGCGAAACGAAAGGGGCAGAAATGGGTGGCTGCTTGTTCATACACTTCGTGACAAGCACGGCGCAACCACGGGACAAGCATGCTATTGAATCTGGCGTGAGATGACACTGCAGGGGCCATGAGGAACGATGCAATCAACAACATTCAGAAATAAATTAGCGCTCAGTAGAAAACCTCCTGTCTCCTTGAAAATCAAACAGTTTTTTCAGCAGGCCCTTGCAACAAGTGCCCTAAATTTGGGTTCAGGTTCCATCATTCGAAGGCACCTCTTCTCTTTTGCGTGCACACTTGTATTTCCTGAACGACAGCACGTCAACATTATTTATTCACGAAACAACCTATCTACACAGCATTGTATTTGTTCATTTGCTTGACCAGACTATATAGTTTTTTTTAGGTCCTAGGTGTAATAGGTTGACATAGGTTGACTATTTCATGTTTTTCCAGTGGTGCGCCAGGAGTATTCTTTGAAGATAAAATCCTTCCAGATCCACACTTGTGGACATCCACATGGCAAGACTGCCAAGCAAAGTGTGCAAGTCACGAGACTTGTAGATACTTCTCCTGGAAGGAGGACTGGGAAGAATAAACTATGATTGGCGTGTGTTGAAAAAATTATTCACACATATTCATATTCATACATATTCACATATTCACACTATTAAAGGTGTGGACACAAAGGGTGGGAAGCCCTGCCGAGGACACCAGTCCGACTGGTGGCTGTTGGATGCTCCCAAGCCACAATTTCACCAGGTTTCATCAGGATCGTTATGCTATCAGCGGACAAGATCAGTGTCCATGGAAGAAATTGTCAGACAGTGACAAGCTCGAAGCGGAGATAGGCGATCCAGGCACAGTGATTTTGGATTGTCGAGCACAGCGCACACTTTACAAGGACTTGAGACTTCCATCACCAAAGATGTACCTGGAGAAATGGGAAGACTGCCAGGTTGCTTGTGATGATAGTGATGATTGTGAGGCTTACAGCTACAAGAAGGATACTTCGCCACCAGGTGGCTGTTGGCTATTTCGCACTCTCAAATATGGCACCAGGATCCCAGATGACGAAGCCGTCACAGGCCGCAAATGGTGCCAGATTCCGCAACTTGTGCCGCATATAGCTGATTTTCCTTTTCGTCAAAAGATCGGATTCCTTGCTCCTGGAGCATTAGATGTGATTTGATTTCAGCAACTTGTATCTTACATGATTTATATGACTTGTATGACTTTTATGACTTGTGAACCTTATTTCTTTCTTTTTCTTATTTCTTTGTCAAACATCTTTGTCATCGTCATGTCTTCATCTTTGTAATGTCACCCACACAGAGCTCCGTGGAGCTCCTCCGAGCTCCTTGAGGCCCAGCCTGGAAGCGCAAGCGCCCGAAGTTCAGTCTCCAACAGCTCCTGTGTTGCTTGGCGGACCAGGGACAATGGAGAACGAGAAGGAAAAGAATGAAGAGAATGAAAAGAATGAAGAGAATGAGGGATTTGTATGCAGAGTACGGAGTGGAAAAGCTATGATACGTCGCGTTCGGTTTTGCTTTAGGACACACACAATTGAAGCTGTGCACGAGACATGAATATTGCCACGGGAACGACATGCTTTCAGCACTCCCTCAGAGTTCCGTTTGTATATAGGTAGATTCTTTCGCAAGTTCAGTGCGCTGCTTTGAGTGCACAATGCTGATTTCTCACTGAGGTCAGTAAGCCCAACGGGAAGCTCAGGTGGAAGTTATTTTTGGCTCATGCTATGTGCGTTCGCGCTAGCATTGCTGTGTTGCTTTGGACTTCTGTGTTTCGCATTTCTGAAACGAAAAAGTCCAAAGACGCGCGCTGCGGAGATCGAGTCCGACACTGCGGAAGAAGAGGTGCCCGTCTTGGCAGCAGCTCCACCTCCAGCTCCACCAGCTCCAGCAGCTCCAGCAGCTCCAGCAGCTCCGCCTGTGCTTCAGTTGGCGCCACGTCCAATGCCCGCAGCTGTGACCTACTACCGCGTCAAACCGATGTCTTCGACGCCTGTGATACTTGAAGCCAGTGAACCAGTGGCAACTGGGGTTTGAGTGCGTTGATCAGGGTTGAACAATATTGAACACATAGCATCAGACAAGTAGAACTTGTTAGAACTATATTATATACATGATTACATGATATATATATATATAAATTATATACATAATATATATATACAGTATACATTGTATACATAATATATATCATGTATATACATAACATAAATTATATGCATAATATATATAAAAATTATATACACAATATATATATATATATATTGTATACATAATATATATCATGTACATAACATAAATTATATACATAATATATATATATATTTATATATATAAATTATATACAATATATATATATATATTATATACATAATATATATATATGCAACTTATATACATAATATATATATATATTGTATACATTATATATATATATATCGTATACATAATATATATTATATATAATTATATACATAATATATATTTTATACATTATATATATAATGTATATTATATACATATATATATATATCTTATATACATTATATATATTATATATACAGAATATATATATTATATACAGAATATATATATATATATATTATATACAGAATATATATTATATACATAATAAATATTATATACATAATAAATATTATATACATAATAAATATTATATACATAATAAATATTATATACATTATACATTATATACATAATATATATATATATATTATACATACTATACATACATATATGTATTATACATGATATATATATATAATATACATTATACATACTTATACATATGATTATATATATAATATACATATATACACATATTTAAATGGGTATATACATATACACAGACGAGTCACCCGGCTCACATTCTATGTTGTTTCATCCTCATGATTCTGCGTTGGTTTTTACTGATTGCGGGATTGTTTGAATTGCTTCAGATTAGTGCGCCATTCAGAAGCCATCAACCCTGAGAAAACAGTATAGCTCGTTCGCTGTCGCCCAAAGAGGCAAGTTGGCCCTGGGGTGAGAAGTCAAGATGAAATAGATGGTCCACCTTGATCCACCTTCCGTGAAATACCATTGAGGACTCATGGTCAATACACTAGAGATCTCAGATCAGCCCTCTTGAGACTCTCACCTCAGAAATGGAGCCTCCTGACATTGGCAGTGAGAATGCATCCATGGCTTGATAGTTGCAATTAAAGCATCCAAGATTTCGCTTCTGATGATGAATTCTGGCAAATTCATTGCCTACTCCAGTAGTAAGAAGTTGTTTATGTGCGCAAAATCCACTCAACATGGAGGCTCTAGAAGTTTCTCCACGTACTGAAGGCCATGAAAGTGGTTTCCTTTTTCAAAAACGGGTTCTTTTACAGATGATGAACTGCCACTGGCTGTGCATGCAGAAAAGACCAAACTGACTTTGCTTAGGTTCGTTCTTCAAATTTACTCTTTACAGAAACTTGAACAGCGTGCTGCGAGGCATGATTAGGTATGATGAGTTTATGATGAGTATCAAAGTCAGTGATAGTCCACTCTGGCTTCTTCTTGCCCATTTCCAGGCCTCACGTTGATGGCATGCAGTGTGTCTTGCAATTTTGACGTCATGCTGCCTACGACCAGCAGGTAACCAGCAGGTGACAGCAGGTAACCAGCAGGTGTCAGCAGGTGACAGCAGGTGACAGCAGGTGACAGCAGGTAATCAGCAGGTAGTCAGCAGGTGACAGCAGGTGTCAGCAGGTGACAGCAGGTGACAGCAGGTGACAGCAGGTGACAGCAGGTAATCAGCAGGTGACAACAGGTAATCAGCAGGTGACAGCAGGTGACAGCAGGTAATCAGCAGGTAGTCAGCAGGTGACAGCAGGTGTCAGCAGGTGACAGCAGGTGACAGCAGGTGACAGCAGGTGACAGCAGGTAATCAGCAGGTGACAGCAGGTAATCAGCAGGTGACAGCAGTAGTCTCCTATGACTTTGTTGATTTCTTTGTCTCATTGCGGTCTTGCCATCAGGCTACACAACCAAATTTGCATCCAGCTCCTCGGTATCGCCACCTCTGTCAGTTAGATTTCAGGCACGATTACAGGAATGGAACTGGAATCAGACTTCACATTCTGATGATAATATTGCTCTATATGCCATATATTGCCCATGATGATATCCCTCAAGATCCCTCAAGTTGGAAAATGGTGATGCTGACCCTTCACCTTTGTGCCAGACTAGAGTCTCTTGCTTGGATTTCTGTTCCGAGGCTTAAACTCTGTGCTTGGCGCGGCGGGTTGCGATGCGCCCTTCTTGGCATACCATCCGTTGCTTTCTCGATTGGGAGACCAGTGCAACACCTTTGATCGAAATCATGGATCGTGATGGATCGTGGGGGAGCATTGAGTCACCTTGTCCCGCCATACAAATGATCATTTTTGTGTATTCACTATAGATAGATTCACTCACAGGACCAAGTTGGCATGAAGTAGATCCATCTTGTTTGATATCCGGGCCCTCTGTTGTACTCGTTTGCCAAGACTTACACGTCGACTTACTCTAAACAACATGCCTGGCTTGCTGCACCAATCTGCACCAAGGTTTCCAATGGCACCGCTCACTGCTTGCAATTTGACGAGAAGCTTTTGTAGTAAGACTTTTGCAAACGGAGGGCAAGGAGCCTCAATTCTAGTGATTTCTTCGAGAATTGAGTTGGCAGTCCGACCAAGGACACGAAGTTACGAGGTTACTTAATGAGATATCACCTAGTGACTGGACCTAGTGTAAACTTATATCATCAAACGATGATTCAAGCAAGTGGTTCGCGAGGTAAATATTGTGCTGTGGCCTCTTTGATGAATCTACAGAAAGGCGATGAGCTCTTTGAACTCGGAGGAGGCACAAAGAATCACAAAGACATGCAAATGGCATGCAAACGACCAAATATGACAAAATTACCAAGTCTTTTAGGGAGTTCCTGCTTCGAAGGGGCATCATGACGCACGGTGTGCGAACTTTGGCCCGATGGGTTCCAGCGTGCTGGCGGGGTTAGGATGTTGGGTGCAGGGCACAGGGGGTGCAGATCGTCGCAGGGGATTCCTCTCAACTGGTCTGGTTTCATGGTGATCTGTGGCAATCTGTGGGAACAAAATCACTGGCACAACTTAAGTGCAAAGTTACTTGACGTGTGCTGAATACAACACGCTGTTTCTACCTGGGTTTGTGCTCGTGCCCTTTGCCGCAGCGACACAAATTTGCGGTTGCTAACACCGTAGATTCTGGGGTGACTCCACGGGATCAAGGAAACTGTGGAGCAAGTTGCTGAGAATTTCTTAACAAATCTGACCAAAAAGGCGGGCAGCCCAGTCGGTGCTCCTATCATGTGACACATTGCACAGTTATGTTAAGGCAGGGTAGGGTCATAGCTATGTAAGGTAGGTTACACAACACTGTTCGCATAGTCTCCTGACTCAGCCATGGGTCCCCGTTTATAGACAGAGGCAGAAGAATGCTGGCCACTAGGTCCCCCTATCCCACCCCAAATCACGTGTCCCGTGTCCCCATGTCTAGCGAATGATTATCTAAAAGCCTTACTTAGTCGGCGCAAGTGATCTTCTTCGGTCGGCGCAAGTGAACCTGCCACCCGCAAGTGACACTTTGGTGGAACTGTCACTTCAGCTTAGATAGCTGGGTATACTGTAGCTCCAGTTTTTTTTTATTGCAGTTTCTTCTTGCCCCAGTCCAGAAGGAATGTTGCCAAATCCTTGCATCTTTGTGGTTGGGCGCAAGACCAACAAACTCTGACTCAGCAGGCTGTGGCATTGGGGCTGCATGGTTGGCGACCTCCTTTGGAGTCAAGGCTTGGTTTGGATTCGAAAAACATGAGACTTTGATAGATTTGATAGACGATTTGGATGATTTTGATTCATGCTTCCTCTCGTAGCTGACATGCTCCGAGCGCATGTTCCTAAATCGGGAATGGTTGACAAAAGCCGTATTTGGCAAGCGTGTTTTTCCCAGGTTGTGTTTGTCCCCGAGCGTTCTTGCACTTGTTTGTTTTTTAGGTGCCTTTGTTTCCAGTGGACGTGATATTACGATTCCGTACTGCCATACTTACATTTGATTCTTCCGATGAGACCTGGATCAAAGACACCAGGGAACCACTGTGTCACTTCGATCCTTCAACACTGCATTTGGATGCATTTGGCACAGGTGACAATGGTAGACCTCATGCAGCAGCATGTGGATGGTGCAAAGAAGTTGGCAGACGAGGCTGGTCTTGAAAAAGCTCCTAAGATTCTTTATATAAGCATACATGTAAGTAAAGAAACAAATGGACAGAGTCGGTAATATGTATCCAGAACAGAATGCACATCAATACAGGCCGTATTTCTATTGGCAAAGCACCTGTCAGACTGTTTCATGACACAAGGTTGGCATAGAGATGACTCTTCGACAAGGCCATGGGCTTAGCCGAGCCAGAAAGACTGGCCACATTTTTGTGGTGGACTCAGATTGGAATGCAGATTGGAACTTGTTTAGGTGTGGAGAAACTTAGGAAATGTTAGGGTTCATCAGCCAGTCAGTCACTGATATGACTGTTCTGCATCTGTGTAGGTGACGTGGCCGAGCTAGATGCTTATCCAGACGAGTCATTCGCTGCTAAGCAAAAAACACGTCTTGAAAAAAAGTCATCTTTCTTGCAGCATTTGACTATCCAAGTGGACTTTGCTTGATGGCTCTAGATACCTAATTGCCACTTTCTTTGAGACCAAGGATGTGCTAATTGAGAATGGTGCCATGACCTTCCTGGGCTCTGCAGCAGCTATGTGCACCATCTTCCGGCGTCATCTCCTCAGGATGCTTCGTCCTCAAGGATTGCCGGATTCATCGTTTCCCATGTTTTCCCATGTTTTCCCGTCTTCTTCACGTGCGACTGGAATAATTTCGACTGTCAAAGCACGCTAATCCAGTCGATTTACAAGTTCCGAGAAGATCGTCAATGTCGTGGTGACGAATGAATCCTGTTTGCAGGAGTGATGTGGGTGGGTGGTCTCAACAATCCGTACCTTGGTTTGGGCAGATTCGTGGGGTGCCATGTTCTGCATGTTCATAGGCACTTTTTGGAGAATACAAATGCATTATATATATATATATTTCTTTATTCATTTGTTCCCCACACAGCTACCAGGTTACCAGTTGATGGGGTTCTCCATTCTTGCAAAGAAACAACATTTTCTCCGTGTAGCGTCTTTATCTCCCTCTTGTCTCCCACTTGTCCCTGTTCCACCGTGATGCTCCGTGTTGTATGTCCTTGTCTCCCACTTGTCCCTTTGCCTCCTTTCTGGATCCTGTTCCACCATGGTTGTCGGTGTTAAGCGTTCACTGTTAACTACTTGTCTCTGCTGCCTCCGAATTGTCTCCGTTCATCTCCCTTCTTTTTTCTCCCTTTGTCTCCCACCTGTCTTTCCTTTGGTTTGCTTCGGAAAAGGATGCTGCTCCGTCATGATTGTCCACTGACAGTCTTTGACACCCTTTGACACCCTTTGAGCCCCAACTGTATTCGGCCTCTTGGTTGGAGAAAACATGCTCTTCCTTTTGTTTTTTTTGAAAGCGATGGTGTCCTGTCATCATCCAGAAGAGATTCTGCGCGCCCTTCATTTTGCCGTTTGGTAGGGATAAATTGGATAGAGGTAAACTTGATAGAGTAGACAAAATTTGCTGGAATAGAGTAAGTCTAATGATAGGGACAAGTGCAATGCAGAGAACTTTAGTACAGATAGGTTTTATGAAGGTCAGCTGGACAGAGATAATTCGGTAGAGGTTGCTTAAGAGAGGTAAGTTCGATAGGGGTTTGATGAGCTCAGTTGAGAGAGGTAAGTTGGTAGAGACAAACTTGACAGAAATAGTTTTGATAGAGAAACATTTGATGGAATCGGTTTCATTGAGATAAATGTTTTAGAGAGAAGTTTGGTGCAGAAAAGTTTGATGGAGAGAAGTTTCATGGAGATAAGTGTCAAACAGATGCATTCGATAGGTAGAAATTATTGTAGACGGAGCCAGTTCTAAAAAGCAAGAACGCAGCGTGAAAATGTGGGCAAAAAAAGGTTTGAAAGAATCTGTTTGGGGCTGATGCTTTTGTAAACTATTTACTTTTTTTTTTTTTCCGAACCTCTCTTTATGTTGGGCCTGCAGCAGATGAGCACCTGTGTAGCGAGCATGTGTAGTTCCAAATGCTTCACGTTGCACTTTGCAGCAACCTTTCGCAAAGGAACAGTGTATCTAGCACTCCATGAGAGAACTGTTTGTGCAATTTTGTGCCATCTCCGGCTGAACTGTCATTTGCAAATTGCAAATAGCAACCACATAATTCACAAGTTTGCGTAGGTTCCTGCCCGAACTATATGTGATTGGGCCTGAAAGATGGGCACAATGTTGCTTGGGAGCGCAATGGAGCACTGCTAATTTGATGCAACAGGTGGACAAGACTTTGCGTCTCTACCTGCCCCGGATGTGTTAGATGTTGGTCTTGAAGATTGGATGCTGTCTCCTTTTTGTGGCAGCCAGTGGACGATGGAGCCTCTTCGCAGGTCTTCCGGTAGATCTCGTCCAACCTTTTTTTAAATCAAGTCTCACGATTCTCACGGTGGTCTCTGGGCAGATTTCTGAAGGACGTCACTTTGTTGAGGCTTTCAGCCTTTCAAAGACGAACAGATCCTATCTTATGCAGCTCGGCTCTGTCAGGTCATGGCCAAGCCAAGGCAATTTTTTCTTTGATAAGTAGGAATCTATCTCCTGTATATTGTTTGAGCCATTAAAAAAATGCATGTTACGCAATTACACGGATTTGGAGAGCATTTTGCTCAGGGGTCAGCCAGTTTGAGCCTGTCAATTTATTGCTTTCACCAGTGGCTAGAGGTTATCTTTTCTGAAATGCTGACTTTCGGTGTGGCGGAATCGTGGGATGACAGGGAGTTGAGCATGTGCCTTGGTTTCAAGAAATTGGAGGTTCGTGTTTTGTTGACACAAAAATATTGGCAGATTGCTGGTCTTTGAAAGGGCTAGCTGAAGCTAGCGACACACGGCTGCGCTCCCTAATCTTGCCCGCATTTCATTGAGTGAAAAACAAACTTTTTGATGTTCACTCCAGAACCAGGCTGCTGAAGAAAAGAACCTCTACATCAGCTGCAAGCTCGCCTGCAGAGATCATCGAGCCTTGGAACAAAATTCTTTTCGACACCAAATCCACAAAATCCTGGTGGTGATTTTATCAGCGGTACCAGATGCTTGCATGTTGGCAACAGCTCTCATTTTCCCCCGGACTTCCACAGATCTTCAAACAGCTACCTGGAGCTACCTGTTGTCTGACAAGAGTTGTGTGTGTCCGTGCCAGAAGTGTCTTCAGCAAGGGGTATTCAGGGCTGTGGACCAGACTAGATTCTTCCTAGGCAATGGGAACACCAACAGTCAAGACCGATGTGAAGTTGAATCCATTGCTTAGAAGTGCTTCCAAGACAATTGGCGCTGCTTCTCAGGAATCTGGTACGAATGACGCCATCAGAATGTATGGTTGCACAGCAGATGTCAGTTTCCCGCCGTTGCCCTCTTTGGCTTTGGAGGTGGCACGGGTCCACTTCATGGTGTGTCAGCAGGTGTGGCAGTTAGAAGGACAACAATTCTTGGACACTGTGGACATAATCCCCGTCGGAAAGAAACAAGAACGGCTACTTTCAGAAAAGATACTCCTGGAGAAGTGGCGGTAGTTGAGTTTCTCAGTTTACTATTGTTTGAAAATAGTGCATGGGCCAGGTGCTTGAAAGAGAACTCCCAGAAGTTAAGTGGAGAGATTTCCTGCGAAGTAGCTTCGTTACAGGAGACCGTCGTTCGCGAGCGGTATCCGATCCATATTGAGAGAGAAATTCAATTTCTGCATAGCTGAGCCGTACAAGCATGTGAAATCGGAAGCTTAGGATAGTCATTTCCAACCTGGAGAAGTTGAGAACCACCAGATGGGGACAACCACACCTGCTAGCTTGGCCATTTCTTTAGCTTTCCATTTGGTTTTTGCATGGTGTCAGATTTTATCAAGTGTCCCTTGTGCAAAGCACCGGGGTCCACAGGTCTACGGCTGGTTTGCATCAGTTTCGAAATGGATTTGCCAGGAGCTTCGTTCTGGCTGTGTGCCAAGGAACGCTTGAAGAGAATGAGTTTGGCAACACGTGTGGGAAGTCTGTGGCGAAGCAGAAGCATATTGGTCCCGTTTTGTCTTCAGAGTCAAGTACAACTTTGCTTGTGACAACTAGGTTCGTCCATTTGAGTGTCTCTGTTTAAAGAATTGAAGCCGACTGTGGCCTGTCAAAGGGATGGCTCTAAGTCTTTCGTTCATATTGGTACAAGTGAGTAAATGACTCGAATGACTGGTGGTCTCCGCCTTGGCCCCTCCAGTTTGGTCTCAAGGTGGACGATTTTGGACTTTGTGGCAAACTTGGAGACCCGGCATTTGGAGCACTTCTTCAACACCAAATTTGAGCCCCGCTCCAACCAGTCTGACAAGGCCTTGCACATTCAGCCAGCAAAGCCAAACAGGCAATCAGACTCAACAAGATGCGTGCCAACATTTTTTCCAAGATTGACAAAGATGGCTTCAAATAAGCTCTGGGATCACACGGCCACTTCCCACTACTCTCCTCCCCAAGCTTACTGCGCAGGAGCAGTGGGTCGATGAAATGATCGTGCCAACTGGTGTGGATGCAGTCCTTTGCAAGAACTTGCACCGAGGGCTGCTGCCGGTGCCACATGCCTCATGCGAGCTGTGACTAGTGTCCTACCGAGGACATAATTAGGTCACTCTAGATGGATCATACCCACAGAGGACTTGCACTCGTATACGGCATGCTAAAATCCCTCTAAGACCCAGACAAACAATACAATGTATCAGGTTTTCTTTTCCCAATTTGCGCATGGAGACGGTAGACTGCTTTTCTAAATGGATTGCAAAATGAAGATGTACCGTGTAAGATGTACCGTGATGTACCTGTATTGTACTTCCACCACTGATTAAGGAGAGGACACGTTTGAACATGTTTGAAGTCTGGAAGTTCCAGGAGTGTGAACTATCTCGAAGCATCCCAAACTGCGACACAAAGCCACGCCAAATAGTCCTTGTTCGGTTTGGTCATCCCATACCGTCCATACCCCACTGCTTTGAGGTTCTGGATGATTTGGAGCTTCGTCTAGAGGAGGAAGTGGGGCTTCCTGCTAGCCATTCTGATCCCTGGCACATCCTCAGGCCCCAGCAGAAACTGGCACAGTTGAATACTTTTGTTTGCCGAGTTTCCAATATTGATATGGAACATTTTGCCCGGAAATCACACGTCTCACGCTTCAAATTAGTGAGATGAAAAGTGGCAAGCTGCTCTGACAGGTATGAACCTGGTTACAGGGCCCACTTCAAACACACAGACTGTGAAGCTGAAGATCTGGTTCCCAATGATCGCTACATCACAGCAGCTGATTTCAACTTACCTCGCATACCTCGCAAGTTCTTTTCAAGATGAGCTCGAAGGATCGGAATTGGACAAATGCATTTAGCTTTTGTATCTGTTGGCATCTTGTTGCGACATTGATGAATAGCCTTTCACATCCGACAAAGTACGCACCAACAAGAAACCAGATATGAGGGTAACCAGAGTCTTGCAAGTTGAACTGATCGGAGAAGCTGAGGTACTGATTTGGCTTTCGGATTGTTGGAACTCTACTCTCCCATGTCAGCCTTTCAATGCGTCAGGCGTTGGCCATGCTCCAAACTGGAATGTGTGTTGCTTGCAATTCAAGAATGATTTTGCTGCGAAGCAGTAGTTTACGTAGGCAAGGGCCAAGGCATGATTTTCAACAAGTCAGAATCAAGACATATTCAGACTATAGAATCGGTGGGAGGTAGTAGTGACGTCTTGTGGCTTTGTTCTCCTTGTAAATTGTTTTCAACTTTTAAAAACTCTTGAACGAGCTTGGGTTTGCTTCATTTTGCTTCCACATCCTATCACATCCTCAAGGCTTCTTGCCTTAGTCCTTTGAAACCTTTGTGTTTTTGCAAAGCCTTCTTGACTTTGAAAACCTCTTCAGTTCTGGGAGGTGCTGGCCACATTGATGGAGATTTTGCCGATGGCGCCACTGTCTTCCCTCATTACGGCCTTCACATGCGAATGCCACGAGGCATGGCCCAAGTGCAGTTGCGCCAGGACAAGAAAACACCTCATGCTGCTTAGCCTTGTGGTTGTTTTGCAATGACACATTTTTGCGCTTCGTATTTTGGCATTGATCACATAAATCTTCGCAGTGTACCTAGCACATCCTAGCACTAGTGGTGCACGACTTGCGGCAAATGCGTCCAGGTGGACTCGTGCTTTACAACAGTCTCCCTGAAGGTGCGACTGCTGAAAAATGCGAATAAGAGTCGCTCACGGTCAGTCGGTCAGTCATGCTTACATTTGATACACATGGTGATTGTATCCTGATTGATCTGATTCTATATCAATTTCTTAATCTCTCCTTCTCAGCGGAATCGCACCTGCTATCCTTGACACAGTGGCATTTTGCCGTCTTGCCCTCCAGCTCTCTTTCCCTTTGCCTTTTTTTCATCACAGCCTGGCCTGGGTGCCTCAAGCTCATCAGGAAGCCTGTGCAAGACCCAAGTGAGCATCTTTAAGCAAATTATAGAAGTATTTTATAGAACTTATCATGAACTCATTGTCATATTTCTCTTTGTCCAGACATTCACGTCTGTGCAGGTCGGTGTGACAAATCATCAGAGCATTTTGCTGCATCGTTGGATGCTGCTGCACCGGCGAAGCTAGTGCTGACAAAGTGGCTTGGAGAAGAATTGCAGCTCTGAGGAGGTGACCTTAAGGTTGCTAGGGACAGCAGCTCTTCAGAATTGCTCTCTCTCTCTCTCTGTGTCTCTCTCTCTCTCTATATATAATACGATATAATACGTGTATATATATATATATATACTTATACGTATTATACATTTCAGATTTCCATTTGACCAGTTCAATTGTCACAGTTTGTGTACATTGTACATGCGCCTGCAGTCTCCCAGACGAGCATGCAACGCATTGACACGTTACAACACATTGCAGCACGCTTTCACAGCCATGCAACTCTTTGTGTCTCAGGTGGTTCTATGTGTCTCCTACGGAGCCAAACATGCCAGAGGTCCCAGCTTCCGTTTGCAATGGACATCCACCAGCACAATGCAAGCTGCTTGGACGAACCTCCCGTCGCTGCTTTCTTCGATATTTTCCCAGAAAAACCAGTGGCCACTTGAATTGAGAAGACATTCTACCCTCCCTCTTTGTGTATATACGGAGAGACGATTTCACCTCTGACCAAGTTGCGGAATCTGCCAGAGGCATTTCTTCACGCCAGCAGAGGGCATGGGTGCACAGAGAGTGCAGTAACTTTGCAGAATGTGGAGGAACACAAATGAACGAAAAACAATCCGACATACTCCTTCTGTGCTTAGTGAAATTCCCAAGTCCTGTTTTTTCTTGTTTGGTTGGTTTTGTTCCTTGTTTTTGTCCGAACCCTTTCCATATTCGCTAACTAAATCTTGAGAACTGAAGACTTGAAGACAATTCCTGATCTGTTAAGTTATTTATGCACATATATACAGATATAAATTATCGAAGGATGTTTAGAAGTCAAACTTCCAACAATATGGACAGATGAAAAGCAGAGGTGGGAAGAGTCAGAGAAGAGAAGAAAAGAAAGAAGATCAGGGAAGAGATAGTCAGAAGACAGAAGATGCAGGTGCGCGAAAAGGTAGGAAAGTCGCGAAACACTGTGTTTTTCCAATGATTCGTGGCTCCGGAGGGTCGAAAAGTAGGCTCGCTAAAGCGGCGGGTGCGGAGCCATGTGGTCAGATGAGAGATGAAAAGTTGCACGCTGTTGTGGCGCGAAGCACGTTCCCAAGTCAAAATGCACAAAGCACACCAACGTCGGACCACTTTTGGAAGTTGTGATGTCGAAAAAGTGCACGCCGTTGTGGCGCGAACATTTGGAAGTCAAAAGTGTGAAAAACTGACGGGTTCGGAGCACTTTTGGAACTTGAGATGTCGAAAAAGTGCACGCCGTTGTGGCGCGAAGCACATTTCCAAGTCAAAATGTTAAAAGCACCACATGTTCGGACCACTTTTGAAGGTTCAGATGTGTTTTCGCTTGGCAAGCGCAAGGGATTTGCTAAAAGTGAGCAAAACGTGAAGGTTTTGTAGCATTTCCAAAAACGATGGCAGGCATGGGACATTTGAAGAGGATTTGCAAAGATGCATTTTCCGTGGCAGGCGCAGTACAAGAGACATGTTTATCAGAGATGTTAGGAGGTCAGGGCGCTGATTTCCTGCGAGGGGTTGCATTTTGGAGCATCAGATCTTCAGGTTTGCTAAGATGATTTTGCGTGACAGGTGCAGCACTTCGTATGACCTTGCATCACTTTTCGTGGCACACTTCACACTCCACACGTCACACTCCACACTTCACACGTCACACCGCACTCTTCACACTCCAAACTTCACACTTCACACTCCATACTTCACACTCCACACTTCACACGTCACACTGCACTCTTCACACTCCAAACTTCACACTTCACACTTCACAGTCCACACTTCACACTTCACAGTCCACACTTCACACTTCTCACTTCTCACTGCACTCTTCACACTCCACATTTCATCTCATCTGAGCCCTTCTCACCTTATCCCAGCTCATCTCTTCTCATCTCATCTCTTCGCATATGTATCTAAGCTTTCATGAATCACTTCCCAGTACTACTACTAATCACTGTCGCAGCCTTGATGCAGCCACTCCAATACGATTTACGATGTTCAGCTACAAAAGACAATAGTATTACGCATGCAGCCGCGGCACCGAGCAACCTTGACGCAGCCACTACAATGCGATCTGCAGAGACTGAGTTGCAAAACACAATAGAACTACGCGCAGCGGTGTCGGAAATTGCAGCTCCAAAACCGGATCTCGACGCCAAAGCAGAAAAAAGACGATTTTGAAGCACTTTAAAAAAAAAATAAAAGGAGAATTACTACCGTGAAAATTGCGAAAATCTACTCGCAAATCACTATCGCAGCCTGGATGCAGCCACTCCAATACGATTTACGATGTTCAGCTGCAAAAGACAATAGTATTACGCGTTATTACGCATGCAGCCGCGGCATCGACTAACGTTGAGCACACAAGGTGTCCTGCTCCGGCTTCCTCCCCAAAACATAGCCCATGCAACATTCATGCAGCCATTACAATGCGATCTGCAACCACAGCTTCAGGAAACGCATAGAACTACGCACACAGGAACAACCATAGTTGCAAAACACATAGAAGGAACCAATCGCGTCCGGAACGACCGCAGCCGCACCCGCCGCACAGACGAGGTACCTTTCATCGTCGCCTGCAGCCACTTTACACGGAAAAAAACACGGTTTCGTGCTCCGGCTTCCTCCCCAAAACATAGCCCATGCAACATTCATGCAGCCATTCCAATGCGATCAGCAACCACAGCCCCAGGAAACGCACAGAACTACGCGCACAGGAACAACCATTGCTGCAAAACACATAGAAGGAACCAATCGCGTCCGGAACGACCGCAGCCGCAACCGCCGCACAGACGAGGTACCTTTCATCGTCGCCTGCAGCCACTTCACACGGAAAAAAACACGGTTTCGTGCTCCGGCTTCCTCCCCAAAACATAGCCCATGCAACATTCATGCAGCCATTACAATGCGATCAGCAACCACAGCTTCAGGAAACGCATAGAACTACGCACACAGGAACAACCATTGCTGCAAAACACATAGAAGGAACCAATCGCGTCCGGAACGACCGCAGCCGCAACCGCCGCACAGACGAGGTACCTTTCATCGTCGCCTGCAGCCACTTTACACGGAAAAACACAAGGTTTCGTGCTCCGGCTTCCTCCCCAAAACAGAGCCCTTGCAACATCATGCACCACTCCCCTTCATCATCACTTTCCTTCTTCACCACTTCCCTTCCTCACCACTTCCCTTCGTCACCACTCCCCTTCATCATCACTTCCCGTCTTCACCACTTCCCTTCGTCACCACTTCCCTTCTTCACCACTTCCCTTCCTCACCACTTCCCTTCGTCACCACTCCCCTTCATCATCACTTCCCTTCTTCACCACTTCCCTTCGTCACCACTTCCCTTCTCCACCACTTCCCTTCCTCACCACTTCCCTTCGTCACCACTTCCCTTCGTCACCACTTCCCTTCGTCACCACTTCCCTTCCTCACCACTTCCCATCGTCACCACTTCCCTTCGTCACCACCCTGTGTCATAGCTTCTTATTCTTTTGTTGTGTATTGTTAGATAATGTATTGTTCTGTGATCTACCACCCTTCATCATAGTCAATTGCATCAAGTAAAAGTCATTCGTAACTCGGAAGTATTGCTTCCCAACTTCCTTTGACTACTTACTACTTACTACTTACTACTTACTACTTACTACTTACTACTTACTACTTACTACTTACTGCTTACTGCTTACTACTTACTACTTACTACTTACTACTACCTACTACCTACTACCTACTACCTACTACCTACTACCTACTACCTACTACCTACTACCTACTACCTACTACCTACTACCTACTACTACTACTACCTACTACCTACTACCTACTACCTACTACCTACTACCTACTACCTACTACCTACTACCTACTACCTACTACCTACTACCTACTACCTACTACCTACTACCTACTACCTACTACCTACTACCTACACCTACTACTACTACTACTACTACTACTACTACTACTACTACTACTACTACTACTACTACTACTACTACTACTACGGCGGCGGCGGCGGCAACGACAACGACAACGACAACGACAACGACAACGACAACGACAACGACAACGACAACGACAACGACAACGACAACGACAACGACAACGACAACGACAACGACAACGACAACGACAACGACAACGACAACGACAACGACAACGACAACGACAACGACAACGACAACGACAACGACAACGACAACGACAACGACAACGACAACGACAACGACAACGACAATACATTACACTACACTCAAGCTACAACTACACTACATTACACAGCACTACCCTATACTAGTTAGACTACACTACATTACAACAACAACAGCAACAACAACAACAGCAAGAGCAAGAACAAGAGCAAGAGCAAAAGCAAGAGCAACAACTACAACTACAACTACATTACCTTACCTTGTACTACACTGCACTAATTACACTACAATACGCCGCAACTACAACTACAGGTACAGCTGCAACTACACTACTTCACATTACACTACACCAGACTACACTATACTACACTACACTACGCCACACCACAGTACACAGCACTACAGTACGATACACTACACTACATTACGCTACACTAATTACACCGCACCACAGCTACAACTACAACTGTAACTACAACTACACTACACTAATTACACTACATGACAACTACAACTCCACTACACTACAACTACAGCCACAGCTACCACTACAACTACAACTACAACTGCGCTACACCACACTACATCCAGCAATTGTGGTGAGGTGACCACTGCAACCATTGCAACCACTCCAAAAAACACAGCTCCAATCACTTTTCGGTCCATCAGTGGGTTCGATCTGCCATCCGTGATTCACAACAACCAGCGCTCCTATAGGTTTCCTATTTTTGAAGCTTCCGCCACCGCCTTGTGCGGCACTACTGGTACAATTTTTATCTAGTAGGAAATAAATGGAAATATAAGGTTGACAGTGGCCCGTGAGGATAGAATTGGTTTCTGCAGGCAAGCTGTTGCACAGCTGCAGTGGCGCGTCGGCGAGCTTGGCGAGCTTGTAGGTGATGACCTGGAGCAGGTGGCCTGGGCCGCCGGAAGTGACAGTAAAGTGACACAGTAAAGTGACAGTAAGGTGACAGTAAAGCGATGGTGAGAGTTGACCACCTGATGAGTTGACCTCTGATGTCTAGGTTCAGTGAGTGGTTCTGGTTTTGTTTTAGCCTTTACGCAAAAGAGTTCCGCGGTGTCCGACGTCATTCTTACCCCATCTTCATGTTTTCTGAACTGCTTGATCTTGCGTAATTTCTTGGGTCTCCACGTGCTGACATGTGGACACATGTTTCATAGTTTTCCATATTTTAGAAAACTTGCGCAGTCTAGGAATTTTTCTTTGATTGACTCCTTCTGGAAGTCGCCTGGGTGTCACAGGGCAATGCCAGCCAACCTGCGCCTAAAGATCAATTGCCTTTGCTTCGATGCATGGTTCTTGCTATTTCGCATCATTTCTCAATGCCTTTTGCTTGTTTCTTTCAAACTCAGGGCCTGGTGTCCTTTTCACCCATCTGGCATCTGGAATTGCCACCACGACAGGAGTGCATAGTAGTTGCTCATACTTTTAGTATAAAAAATATTCGGGAATTATCGGAGACCCGACTTCTATTTGAAACGGCTTTGGCCGCACCCCCAAATTGTGTTTTCTACTTAAACAAAGCATCTCCATGTTCTCGCAGAATGTGGAAACTTGGCGGCATGGCATCCAGAGTCATTGATCTCTTGGATAGGTGCAGGCTATGATGTCATCAGAAGTCCAAGAACTGCGAGATGCATTGGAGCAGCAGGCAAGTACGCAACGGGTTTTCGCAACCGCAACAGGGCGTCTGTTTTGTAGGTGCATGCCCGGGCTGCTCGTTGATCTTGTTGGAACATGATGATACTATATACGTATATATATAATTATCTTTGTTTATGTTTATACCTATATTTATATTTATGTTTAATATTAATATTAATATTGATATTTTTGTATTTATATGTTGATATTATATATTCATATTCATAGTATATATATATATTACGCATTTTTTGTCACATTCACCTGGAATCCTAGAATTATGTAGTTCTTGCCTATTCTTTGTGAAGCAGTCTGCCTGGAGCGAGCGGAAAAAATAGCCAGACACTCACATTTGGTTGCATGCATTATTGTGGAGTTTCTACTGGAATTTCAAAGCATATGCAGCACATATGCAGATCGTTCTTGAATTCTTACTTTGCTAGGTCGGAGGGAGGTCTTTGGGGCAGTCGCCACACTGGCATTCTATGATGGACACTTGGGCGCGACGGGTCACAACACTAGACACAAGATTAAACAGCATGAACGGATGGGCTACTCGTAGGTTAATTTATCTTCTGCCTCCACTACGCTGTGTTGTGCTGCAGCTACACTATTTTGCACTATTATGCAAGACCAGCTTACACTTTGAGCGTGCAAGAGTACTTCTCTCTCTCTCTCTCTTTTTTTGGGTGTTGTTACGTTCTTTGCATTTGTACATGCTCTTGGGTGTTCGGTTTGATTTTGGGCGCCAGGGTCTGTCAACTGCCAGATTGTGAAGCCAAAAGTATTGCAGAAATATGAAGCATTGCACACACAAACCCTGGCTGACAGCACAAATTACATTGGTCCTAGATTTTCTTGTTTAACTTCATTGGAATGCGTTGAGAACTGACTGTTGTGGTAAAGTTGGGCGTTCGTATCCAACACCTCCCTCAGATGCAGAAAAGTAAAGGTGCAGGTAGACAGATGAGTAAATACACACATATTCAGATAGATAAGTAGGTGATCCACACATGTTCCTAGAGAAGAACCTCATAGAATCTTCTTAGCGTTTGTGGCAAGTCCCAAGCTGCAAACCGTTTTCAGCATTTCTGGTCTCAAGGTCCTCAGCAAAGCGGAGATCTTGGCTTTGCAGGCCATCTGCATTTTTTTTTTCGCCAGCCTAAACTCCGTCACGGAGCTGGAGTACAAGACATCTTTTTGTCTGTCTAACACCAGTGTGTTGTGGCCTGGTTTCCCAGGCAAAGTTTTGGCTTTCGCCTGCTCCACTCTGCTCCCCATTCAGTGCGTTGCATGTGACACATCACAATGCTGACATAGCTGCTGTAGCTGATGAATTTCCATTCCCTGTCGCTGCAACTTGTCTGTTCAGTTTGGTGCTGCCTTGGATCCTTTGCCACGGCTGCGTGCTGCGATGAAGCGTTGCAAGGGTTGTGTGGAGGTCGCAGAGAGTGTCCTGACTCAACAGAGCGACCAGGATAGGCGAGGGCCAAGATGGGCCGAGTGAAATTCAGGTCCTTCAGTCCACAGAACTTGCGAGAATCTAAATTGGAACTGGCAAACCATCCTTGATGCATGCGAATGATGACTGGGTACGACATTCTGAATTGTCCTGAATTGAATGTGTTTGATTTGTTTTTTGTCACTTGTAAACGATTTTTTTCAGAAAGATTGACTGTGATTGTACACAAGCTTCCAGTGTTCGAAGGGGATGGATAGGACCACAATGGACCACACATCCACAGACAGCGCAGAACCTTGCATTGGATTATTGGTTTCCAAGGCATGCTGACAGGGCTGTTGGTTTCCTTTGCCAAGGTGGGCTGTGTTTCGTTTGGTCGGTGGCTTCCCATTGTGTGCTGATGGCTCCAGCATTCTAACCGTTCTGAAAAGAATGGAAATTTGTGGAGCACATAATGCTTGGTCAGCTTGGTTCATTTTTGTTCTATGCAGGACTTGTGTCAAACGTTCAATGGCCATGGCACAGTGTGAATCTACTCTAGGATTCGATTCCTGGGTGTTCCTCTCAGCAACCCTTTCCGCCATGGTGTTTTTGGAGGCAACCTCTTTGCAACAGGAGTGCATTGAGTGCATTGAGTGCATTGAGTGCATTGCTACAGTAGCTTTTGATTTTCTTTTGACCTCAGGGGTTCAAGTTTGAATTACTACGGACCTACGTCAGCTGGGGGTGTTGCAGCCTCGGCCACCTGGGTGCCACTGCAGGGCGCTTCTGATCGTTTTGACGAGGCGAGTCGATGGTGACTGTACATTGCTGCGATTTGCTACGTATCATGCGATGCAGATAGGAGTCAACATGATTCTGAAGAGAGGAGAGCTATAAAAACCTGCAGACTACCAGCTTTGGATGTAAATGTGAGGCACATGGGGGGCAAACAAACCTCTTGCTGGGACTTGTCCATGTGTTTTTGCAGAGGTTCATTTGCTGAAAAACCTATCCAGGTTCATGGACTTCATAACTCCCAAGATCTCCCAAAAGGGTCATGTGATAGCCCTTCGTTCCAAGGCTTTGCCTGCACTGAAGCGCCTTGCGCTGATGGATGCCGCAAAAGCAGCGCAACTAGCGCCCGAGGTGGTGCAGATGCGGCTTCTTCAAGAAGAGCGCGAAAGAGAAGCAACGCAAGAAAAGTGAAATGATGCTGCGCCTTCTGAATTTCCAGAAACTTCTGTGGCTTGTCTGCAAGATCTGATCCTGCTGATTTAGAATGCTTTAGATACGGGAGAAGCAAAGTACATCCCATATGTTATCATATTGCCAGTTTTAAAGTGGAGTTCGGAAATTGGAAGTGATTGGAAGTGTTGTTTGGAAATGCAAGCGCCTGTTGTTTGCTTGCCATTTCAAAACAAGACGCATTTTTGCATGCACCATGTTGCACTTGAGTGATAGGTGCTTCCTATCTCACGCAGCGTTCAGGTCCGAGTTAAACATAGACAGCCTGAAAGGGCCGTTGTTTAGCAGTTAATGGTTCGGAGGTTGAAAAAAATCGTAGCCTTGGTTAGGCTGTAGTTAGGCGCTTTGAACTTTATTTATGCCGCTTGGCTTCACTGCAATCAAATTGCAGCCAGGTGTCAAAACCACGCAATCAGCATGCTATTTGCCACTGCCACTACGGACATTACATTCACAGTACTAGCAGCAGTGGCGTTTGAACCAACGTTTCTTATCGTTTCTTCATACCATGTAGCCGGTCATTGACGAGAAAGCTGCCATAAATAGAAATAGGCAAACGCCACTGGGTAACCGACAACCAGCTTGAACACGTCAAAAGCAAGAAATTGCCGCAAGGAGTGATATTCTTTGCATGATGACCGCCGCAACAAAAATATTGTAATTGTTTCGATCAGTGCTCTTTGAACCCTTTGGAATCAAGATTGGATACAGTCAAGGTTCGAACTCAATCTGCAAAATTTTGCATTCGGTCTCCTGTGTAGTTTGTGACGCACATCACAGCCAGAAAGGCAGGATGCTTTGTGCTTTGCCTGCATCGGATGCACCTGTTGCTACAAATTCACTTCTGCCTTTGTAGTCCTTCGGATTGAAATCAGGCTGAAAGCATGATTTGTGGAGCGAGACTTGCCAGACTTGCCACGCTCACACTCACACTGATACTCACACAGGAAACAAAGTGCTCCAGGCCCAGCCCCCATGGGAGATGACGACGCTTGCAGATCTTTCTGCCAATGTCTATAAGGCCTCTGACTTGGTGTCCCAAAATCATATTTTGGTGTTTTTTAGGCAAATACTCAGAGAGAGAGATAGAGAACACTACGTGTGTGGGATCCATACGTTGAAGATTTGCCTTTGAGTTTTAGATTCTATCCAACTTTGGTAGATTTGCACCGTTTGACCACTGGATTGCTTCTCGATAGTCTACAGCTTCGGTCAAGGCAGGGCCCACATGGGATCACACAACCTATCAGTGTGGCCGGCATGCTCTTTCTTGTATGACCTTTATCGGATCTGCCTGGGAGATTGGAAAGTCTGGTTCATTCCAAGCTGAACGCATATTAATTATGCATTGAGCACGCAGGAGGTGCGTAAACCGATTTTGCCACTTCACGCCACTTCACGCCACTTGAAGTGGCATGAAGTGGCATGAAGTGGCATGCTCACGGTGCGACACGCCACTTGAAGTGGCATGCGCCACTTGAAGTGGCATGAAGTGGCATGCTCACGGTGCGACACGCCACTTGAAGTGGCATGCGCCACTTGAAGTGGCATCCGCCACTTGAAGTGGCATGAAGTGGCATGCTCACGGCCTCTTGAAGTGGCATGAAGTGGCATGAAGTGGCATGCTCACGGTGCGACACGCCACTTGAAGTGGCATGCGCCACTTGAAGTGGCATGAAGTGGCATGCTCACGGTGGGACATTACGACTACGACTACGATGGCTGCGACGACGACGACAACGATTGCGACTACTGCTACTCCTACTACTACTACTACTACTACTGCCACTACTACTATTACTACTGCTACTACTACTTCTACTACTGCTACTGCTACTACTACTACTTCTACTACTACGACTACGGCTACGGCTACGGCTACGGCTACGACTACTGCTACTCTTACTCCTACTCCTACTACTACTACTACTACAACAACAACTACTACTACTACTACTACTCCTCTACTACTACTACTGCTGCTGCTGCTACTACTGCTACTGCTACTGCTACTGCTGCTGCTACTACTACGACTACTGCTACTGCTACGGCTACTGCTACTGCTTCTGCTTCTGCTACTGCTACCACTACCACTACCACTATACCACTACTGCTACCACTACCACTACCACTACGATTGGGACTTCGCCACTCGGAACGCGAAGGCTACACAGTCAGCACGCCACTCGAAGTGGCACGCCACTTGAAGTGGCATACGCCACTCGAAGTGGCACGCCACTTGAAGTGGCATACGCCACTCGAAGTGGCACGCCACTTGAAGTGGCATACGCCACTCGAAGTGGCACGCCACTTGAAGTGGCATACGCCACTCGAAGTGGCACGCCACTTGAAGTGGCATGAAGTGGCATGAAGTGGCAAAATCAAATTCCACCACATCTGCTCGTTCTCTGTAATTATGCCCTTTGCATCCCTTTGCCAGGTACTACATCCAGCTGAAGTATGGAGACAAGTCTTGGGAGGCCAATGACATATCGTAGACGTCAAATTATTTCATTTTACATTGGTTCAACATGTTTTAACCATTATATCAAATATTGCATCGTTATGCTTTGTTTTGAACTGTTTCGGTGCTGGTATACTGGAGGTGGCAAAGCGCTTCAGCGAGTTCGACACGTTGCTCCAAAGCCTAGTGAGCAACCGCTTCGGTGGCCTGTCGGGGCCCAGAATGAAGCCACGACATGACCATGCCATGACGCCATGAGATGCTATGTCCATCTATGTCCTATGATGCCGGTGAAACAGAGTTGTGTGAATTCGAGTCCGAGGCCAAAGCTTCCAGCGAAAACCTTGCTGGGTTCGCCCATGGATCAGGCCGCCCTTTCGGATGTTTGCTTCCTGGGCGGGCGGCTTCACAGGGCGATGTTGTAAAGTTACCTGTGTGAGGCCGCTATTGATGCTCGGAAAGAGCAGTGGGGGTGCTTAGAAAGTAGCCATGGCTGAAAATCAAAGACACAAAATTGAAACTGTCGTCATCTGTCGTCTCTGGTTTCCAATCCTGCTTTACCTGCTCTGATCAGGTTGCGGATCCTTTTGCAGGATTTGCTTTTGAGGTGTCGCCGACCTGTG